TTCCCTTCCCACTCTGCTCTCACTCTCTACAACTTCGATCGTTGCTTCTCCCCTGCGTCGTCATCGCTTGTCTCGTCGTGAATCGTGATCCTCTGAGTTCCGCTGGTCCTTGGCTGAGTACCTTGTTCTCCCCTCCAACCACTTGTACCATCAACACACCTCTTGACTTCCCTCCTCGCTAGACAGCAGCATTGATCACACCCAAACCACCCACTACACAAATATCTTTCCTTACTGTCTGGTCGCAGTCCCTCTACAACTGTTCATCTCTCTTCCATCCGCTCTGCTATCCACGAGCCCTCTGCTCGACCCTTTGAGTTTCGTTACTTACATCCTCTACTATCGTCGTCTTTTCTTCATTTTTCCTCTCCATTCTCTCAGGCGGTCTGACTCTAGAATCTGGATCTCATCCAGTCCATCGTTTGTTCGATCGCTCCCCCCCAAAAAAAAATCAAAAATCACTGGTCATCGAGACCACAACTCCGCACAGTCTCGCCACTAGTATCAATCATCACCTACGGTCTATCACACCCAATCTGCCCTTTTCGTTCTACATATATAAATAAGTTTCTCATCCTCAATGGCCGACAACTCAGACCAGTACTCAAGCACCGCCTCCAATGGCAATGGCAATCGAACCGGCCGCAAGACTAACTCCCGCCCTCACAGCCGCAACGAGACCCAACGTGACAGCTCGACCGGCAACAGAAAAGGACCCTCTGCCGCCGGCGATCGCGACTCACCTCCAGGCCCAAACAACCAGCGTCGCAGCAGCGTCCAACGCATTGGCAATTCTGGCGGCGGCCGTAAGGCCAACGAGCCTCCTCCCCCGCAAGCTCGCCGGGCTTCGGATACTGGTATGTCAAAATCTCATCTTTTTTCGATTTCCTTTTCTTGTGCTTGAGTCTGATTGTTTATGATCGCACAGGCCCATCATTAGGCAGCGACAACAGTCTCAGCGGTAGTATGCATGCCCCCAAGGGGCGCGCGCAATCGGGCGGCCAGAGAAAACCTAGTATCGATAAGAACGGCGGTGGCAAGAGCACGCTCAACCCCAATGCTGGTGGTTTTCAACCTGGTGCATTGTCTGCTATCGTCAGTCGAGTGTCTTATCATCGATTCCTGTCCTAAATGTCTTGTCTTACGCTGTTTCTGTTTGCTCAAATTATCAGATGGATGTCGACGCCGAGGTTTTAGTGACGCCAACCCCTGGACAAACTCAGTTCAACCACGAAGCCTTACAACGTCCCTCGGCCAGCTTCCCTGGAGGTTTCATCGGCGAACTTCCCGATAATGCTGGGGCATTCGGTCGCCTCCCTGGGCTCAATAATGCCAGAGGATTCGCTTTCCCAGGCGGAAACACTCTCTCTAACAATCAGCTGGCTCAACAGATAATGCAACAGCAGCAACAAATGCAGTTCTTAAATAACAATTTTTCCGGCCCTGGCACTCTTGGTGGCTTGAATGATCTTCAGGCAACCGTACAACAGCAAGCGATGCAAGTCGTCCAAATGCAAGCCGCCTTACAGGCAGCCCAAGCTCAAGGTCCACATGCTAGTGCGCCTAGGTTTAGCAACGTAGATGTCATGTCTCCATTGTCCGAGTCGCTTCAAATCCAGCAGCAACTCGAAATGTTACGCCATCAGCAGGAGGCCCTCATGAACCGCTTTGGCGACCTTCAAACTGGGCCAACGCCTGATCGCTCTCATCCCATCCATCGACGTGGCCAAAGCGCTCAAGTAGGCAGCGGCCAGGGCAATGGTGGTAACGCGTTTGGAGCAATGGGACGATTCGGACTGGATGGTGCCAGCTCCTTCGGCCAAGGTCTAGCTGGCAACGACAGCCTTGCTAATTCTATGGCCAATGGAGGCTCTGTCAATCCCAAAGGTCATGGCCGTCGTCACAGTGTTCAAGTGAGCTCGAATACTGGCGCCAATAATCAGCAACAACTAGGATTCCCCGGTCAAAACTTCCAGTTCCCAGCTTCCATCCCGAGCTCCACCTTCAGCAATTACCTTGCCAACCCCGTCGGTAGTGACCTTGACTTTGGCATGGGCAGCGGCTTTTCCAACAATGGCTCCGGCGCCCAAGGTCACCGTCGTGGACACAGCAAAGCTAGTAGCATTTCCAATATTGGTGGATTCAACATGGGTACGTCGCTTTCTTTTGATGTATTTATCATACTTCCGATATCAGCTATTAATGGCATTTGCTTCTGTCTCTTCGATCTTAGATTTCGGCGCTCAAGCATCCACCGATCTTAATCAAGCTCAGATGCAATTGCAACAACTCGCCCAGTTCCGGGCAGCTTCCGGCCACACCCGTGTCCCATCATTTGGGTTCCAAAACCCGATGAATTTAGGACCTGGCCAGTCGCACGTCGGACAAGGCAATCAACAAATGCGCAAATCTTTATTCGCGCCTTACTTACCTCAAGCATCCATCCCACCCTTGTTAGCTGCTGGTAAACTTGTCATCGGTGTCTTGCGCGTCAACAAGCGTAATCGATCCGATGCCTACGTCGCCACCGATTCTCTCGACTCGGACATTTACATCTGTGGCTCCAAGGATCGAAACCGTGCCCTCGAAGGTGACGTGGTCGCGGTTGAACTCCTCGACGTCGATGAAGTATGGGGCACGAAGAAGGAGAAGGAGGAGAAGAAGCGCAAGAAAGAAGAAAATCAAGCCTTTGATTCTCGCGTTCAACAGAACAATCGCCGCGAGGACAAGAAGCGTGATGACGTTGAGGTGGAAGGGCAGGGGCTTACTCTTTTTGAAGAAGAAGAAGTAAACGACGAACAGAGACCCAACTTCGCTGGTCATATCGTTGCTGTTGTCGAGCGGATGCCCGGTCAGCTCTTCAGTGGGACCTTGGGATTATTGCGACCCTCATCTGCCGCAACCAAAGAGAAGCAAGAAGCTGAGCGACGCGAGCGTGAGGGGGTTGACTTGCGTGGTGGCCAGCGCGAAGAGCAACGTCCCAAGATTGTCTGGCATAGACCCACTGACAAGCGAGTTCCTCTGATCGCCATCCCGGTCGATCAAGCACCTGCCGACTTCTTGGCGGATCCCAACAAGTATTCATCTACGCTTTTCATTGCTGGTATCAAGCGCTGGCCCATCACTTCCTTGCACCCATTCGGTACCTTGGTTGAGGAGCTTGGCCCCATCGGTGATATTGAGGTTGAGACTAATGCTCTCCTTAAAGACTGCAACTTCACCTCCGAGGAATTCTCCGAGAATGTTGTCAAGTGCCTGCCACCCTTACCTTGGACAATCCCCGAACGCGAATACGAGGTTCGTCGTGACTTCAGGAGCCAGGTCGCTTTTACGATCGATGGTGCGACTGCTCGTGACTTGGATGACGCTTTGCACATTTCAAAGAACGAAGACGGAACCTTTGAAGTTGGGGTTCACATTGCGGACGTCACCCACTTTGTCAAGCCAGGAACCGCGTTGGATCGCGAAGCTCGCAAGAGGGCGACTACTGTTTATCTGGTCCAACGAGCTGTTCCTATGCTCCCACCTACTCTCTCCGAGCACTTGTGCTCTTTGTCGCCCGGGCAAGATAAATTAACATTCAGTGCCGTCTTCAAGATGACCCCGCAGGGCCGAGTGATCGATACGTGGTTCGGCAAGTCAATCATTTGCTCGAGTGCCAAGTTGACTTATGATTCGGTCCAGCAGGTTCTTAGCGATAATTCTTCCACTCCTGAGCTGAAGGTTGAGAAGGAGGGCGTTACAGTCAATCAGATTTGCGATTCCTTGAGGGCCTTGGGTCAACTCTCCCGTCAAATGCGTGCCCGAAGGTTTGATGAAGGCTGTCTGCGCATTGATAACATCCGACTTGATATCAAGCTTGATGCAGAAGGCTTGCCTGAGGATTGCTCGGTGGTGCTTGGCGACGAAGCCAAGCAATTGATCGAGGAATTCATGTTACTTGCGAACTCGGCTGTTGCCAAGAAGGTTGCCGCGGGGTTGCCTGAACAGGCAATGCTCCGACGTCACGAAGCTCCGATAGACAGAAGGCTGGAAGGATTCGCGAAGAGAGCCGCCAAGATGGGCTTTGAAGTCGACACTTCCAGCGCCGGCGCCTTGATGAAATCAATTAAATCAATGGAGCAGGCTGGCAAGGCCCCTCACTTTGTCCTTCAGTTATTGTCGACTAAAGCGATGGTTAAAGCCAAATACTTCTGTGGTGGTGCCTTGGACATTGCTAAATGGTCGCATTATGCATTGAATCTTCCTGTTTACACTCATTTCACTTCGTAAGTCTTTGCTTTCTTAACCAAGAAGCAGTAGTACGCATTCTGATTTGATCTGTCACTAGGCCGATCCGACGTTTTGCCGATGTGATGGTTCATCGCCAATTGGAAGCTGTATTGAGTACCACTTGCGATGTTAAATTCACTATGGATCCTGATTCCGTCAGCAAATGCGCCCAATTCTGCAACATCAAGAAGCATGCTGCGCGTCTCGCCGAGGAACAATCCCAGCATCTATTCCTCTGTGTCCTAATTGCGGACCTCACCGCGAAGTACGGACCTGTCATTCGATCTGCCAATGTTATTGGCGTTTGGGACGAAGCCTTTGATGTTGCAGTTCCTGACTTCGGAATTGAAAAGCGTGTACATGTTGATCAAATGCCAATCGACGTAAGTTTTTAAATCAATAAGCAGTGGTTTGTTTCTACTCTGCTGATATATGTTTTTTGCCTTATTCAGAATCACGTTCATGATGAACATGCCAACACTTTGAAGCTCTATTGGAAGCAAGGAGTCGATGTTGTCTCTCACTTGTCTGAACACTCAACCGATGCCCATTGGCACTCCATCCGCCACCATGCCGAAAGGCATGCGAAGTTGATGGAGGCCTCTTCTCAGTCTGTCCAAGCTGAAAGTGCATTATTCGAAGACGATGAAGACGATGTCGTTCAGCATCCTTTGAAAGGCGGATCTGGGAAATCGGGCGAACTCACCGAACGAGAGAAGAAGAGTGCACAACGTTTGAAGAGCGCTGAGATGGCCCGTGCCAAAGGAAAAGTTGATTTACAATGGGAAGGCGTTGAGAAGATTGAAGCTGCACCCGGAGTCACTCATTGCGTACAGACTGTCAGAGAACTTCAAACTGTCCCTGTAATCATCACGGCCGATACTACCAAGAGTCCTCCCGTATTGAAAATCTTTGCTGTAAGTGTTTCAGTGCTCCTTCCTGATTTGTTTGGTTGTTATTCAAAGCTGATCTCTTTCATCTCTCCCTTCTTGCTATTCGCCAGGTCAACCCCTTTGCATAGTGCTCCGGTCTGGATAAGCCATCCATCAGATTCTGTTGGGCTCGTCACCGACATTGTATTGCATTTATCATGACAGTTCTCGTTTCCCATCTCTTTACATCGCTCACTCGTTTCAAATTGTCAGTGCAACCTGTCATTACTTGGCACAGTTAACTGTGATTCTTGTCCTCTGGGGTGCCCCTTATTGTGGTAGATTCGAGCAAAGCAAAGCAAGCAAAAAAATAAATAAATAAATAAATAGAAGAAACAGATCAACGGGACAGATGGATCGCCAAGAATTTTTTTCTTCTTCTTTTTCTTTTTACATGCATGTTACTGTTTTTTATTTTGTTTGTTCATTGACGTCTCGATGAGACGATGATTTTGTATGTTGTAAATGATTGTGAATTAAGAAAGACAAACAAAGAAAAAATTGTTCTCAATTTATTTTAAATAAACATTATGTCAACCATGATTAATTTCTTCAGATACATCTCGAGTTAAAATCCACACGATCAAAGTTCAATCTTGACACATCTCTTGATCTCTATTCTGTGCGGCATGTGCATCTTCTTGAGGACTGGATACCTGTCTCCCCCTCCCTCGGTTCAAAATTGTGCTATATTGTGCTACCTGACTAGGCTGCTCGTGGTTGTTCTCATTGCGTCAAGACAGACGTTTGCTCAAATAAGATCTATCAATTAGGAAGCTCACATTAGAAATCCGCCATGTTTCCTCGTAAATGATTTCAATCCATTGACATACGGGCACAGCTGATCGACGCGCAAGCCGGGCTCTAGTAGGGGGGATATGCAGGCATCCATGTAAAGATTTGATTGATTCATGTTACAAGTCAGTTTTAGTCGGATTCAGCCATGGGACCTGCCAGTTGGAACCTGGGACAGGGTATGCCCGTGGGATGAGCCCTTCGGACTGGTGGGGTCTTCGAGCCGACGGACGGGATTTGGACTCTGGAGCCTGCTGGACTCGGAGCCAGGGCCCGGTGATCTCGGCGGTGGAATGTTGTGGATCTTCTGATAAAGAAATACGTGCTGAAACCCTAGAGATACATATCTTGGGCCTAAAACATGTATCTATGTATTTGTTAACTGCATCTTCAAGTTAGAATAGTGGTGCTTGCATGATTCAGCAGTGACTTGAATCCTGGCTTCAACAGCCTCGTCTACTCTCTGCCCCATAGTATACCATACACAGAACCACAACCGACGATTAGTCTTTATATAGCTCTGCTTAACAGTTGAATTCTCGATACATACCAGGAGTACTAGGCAGATAACCCACAGTCAACGACACCATCTGAAGCATCGGCATTCATCCGAACAAAAAAGCTATCCAGACCCCAAAGGGATTTTCCGTACGACTGTTTCCATCCTCGTGATCATGAGCTCTGGGTGGAAGTTAGGCAAAAGTAAGAGTTACTATCTTTTATCTTCAAAGTCTCTTCATGAACCCGCGGTTCTGCTTGCGAGCAGACCCCTGTTACAAAAATATCTGTCTCCTCCTCCAATCCCGCAATGTCTTGCGCTTCTGTCGCTGTATGCGAGCGATCCCGGCTTCCCGACTTCGGAGATTCTTCTGATACATACCCACCAACAACCATGTTCCATGAATCCATACGAATTATTTTGAGCGGTTGGAGTATGTATTCAATTGGCCTCGAAATGTAGATCCCCAGCTAGCATATTGTACAAATTCTGGATCTTTCAATCACAACGCGGATATGATTAGAGTGTTCAAATCAACAATTCTGGTTCTGTAAACCTTAAAGGTCATATCGCGTGTTGAATTAATTGGCTAACGTGGTCAAGGATTTTGTGAACATAACGGAAAAACAAATCCAAGAAATGTTGGGTTTGATACAATGTGCTGACTGGCCAACGATTCTTTCTTTTTCTTTCTCTCTATCGGGCAACATTGGAATGTGCTAACACACAGAATTCAAGGAAGCGACGAACTCACTGAAGCAGGCCCCCACGCCAACACCTGAGGTCGTGACTGCTGTCCCAGGCGGCCAATCTTCCAATGAAGCTGTCTCTGTGCCATCCAAACTTTCAGTGACATCCAAACCAAGTGAGGCCAGAACCGGAGCTGGCGGTACCCTCTCAATTACTATCATCGAGGCCGAGGGCTTGTCGGTTCCATCCGGCATCAATATCCCAGATATCGTCCAGAGGGCCGTAGTCGAGAATCCCAAGGTTGGCAGCTTGACAGTCGGAAGTCTGGCCGAAAGTCTACCCACCAACGGCGATAAAAAAGTAAACAAGGAGGGGATTCCAAGGAAATACAATTGGTGGCTTCCTTGTGAGTGATTCCTGATTATACATTTTTCTTTTTTTTCTTTTGAAGCTTGATTACCCATCCTCAGCTCTACTCTCATCTTAGATCTCGTGTTGGAGTTTGATAAGAATGAGGTTTTAGTCGAAGCTTTGGGCGGCACCATTGATTGTCCAGTCTGGATCTACCAGGCCGACTTCGACGTGTCTCGTACCTCTGAGATCACTCTCTCAACCTATCTGCGAACTAGCCCTCATGGAAGTCAAAAGACTGATATGGGTGATGATATCTTCTTAGGAGGGTTGAACTTCCAACCCTCATTCGATACCCAAGTTAGTTACGGCCTGCTCATCTTCAGCACGTTGTACTCTTCATGAATTAAGCTAAATCACCTCTCGTCTACATATAGTCGGTCATCGATGCTTGGTATGACACCAATACAAGCAACGGGACCGGTCGTTTCCATCTTCAAGTGGCCTTCAAACCCTCGAAGAATACCCAACTGACTATCGAGTCATTTGAGCTCTTGCAAGTGATCGGTAAGGGGTCTTTTGGAAAAGTGATGCAAGTGAGGAAGAAGGACACGGGAAGAATCTATGCGATGAAGACCATCCGAAAAGCACACATTGTATCCCGCTCGGAAGTCACTCACACTCTTGCAGAACGGACAGTCCTGGGCCAAGTGAACAATCCGTTCATTGTACCGTTGAAGTTCAGCTTCCAGAATTCCGAAAAGCTTTACTTAGTCTTATCGTCAGTCCCTCGATCAATCTCACCTAAATTTTTCTCTTTGAAGCTGCTGTCAATCAAAGCAAACGGCAGTAGATCTAGAGTCACTACGCATGGATGAAAGAAACTGCCCATCAAATCGGATCCAAACTGATGAAATCTCGCTCTTTTGATCATGTTGCTTCACGATCAATCAACACAAGTTGCATTAATGGTGGGGAATTGTTCCACCATTTACAGAAGGAAGGAAGGTTTAGTGAAGAAAGGTCAAGACTGTATGCAGCCGAGTTGCTCTGTGCACTTGAACACCTCCACGCCTACGATGTGATTTATCGGTAAGAACATATAAATAGCATGATAAAAAATCTTATCTTCGCCAAAGAAGAAAATCCAATTTCGATGTGCTGAATCGTTTGCACTCTTTAGTGACCTGAAACCGGAGAACATTTTGCTAGACTATACTGGCCACATCGCGCTCTGTGACTTTGGATTATGCAAGTTGAACATGGGCGAATCCGAAAAAACCAACAGTGAGTTGAAATCTACTACCAAAACATCAAGTATGTGAGGGGGAAAAAAGGTTCACGATATACATGCTTCTCTTGCTAGCATTTTGTGGAACTCCCGAATATTTGTCCCCTGAGCTTCTTCTTGGACAGGGTTATTCAAAAAGCGTTGATTGGTGGACTCTGGGAGTCTTGATTTATGAAATGCTTTCTGGCCTTCCTCCGTCAGTAACTTTCACTTGAGCTCGTGTGCCCTGGAGCTAAAGCACTGAAATTTTGATCTCTCTGTGCCGAGGGCTAAAAATCTTCAGATATTATGACGAAAACGTAAATGGTCAGTAATTTGATAGAATTTGTGACCAGGAGAATTAGAGAGCTAACTTTTTTTTTGTGATCCACCCACCCTTTTAGAAATGTATCGAAAGATACTGTACAATCCCCTACTATTCGGCCCGGAGATCAAGCCCCAAGCTCGGTCGCTCTTGACGGGCCTTCTCTCGAGGAATCCGAAGCGAAGATTGGGAAGCAATGGGGCGGAGGAAATCAAGCACCATCCATTCTTCTCCCAGATCGATTGGAAACGACTGATGATGAAGCAATACACCCCGCCCTTCAAGCCTAGCGTTGCCAGCGCGATCGATACGAGCAACTTCGATAGTGAATTCACCAGGTGGGTCTTGAGCTCACTTTGTTTCCGAGCTATCTGATGAACCAACATTATTGTTTTTGTTTGGGAATTAGTGAGGCGCCCATGGATTCGGTCGTAGAAGACTCCCATCTCAGCGAGACTGTTCAACAACAATTCATGTCCGCCAAGTCCTCCAAACTATGTCCCCAAGCTCGTGTTGTGCTGACTAAGTTTTATTTTTCTCGTGTGTCCAATCAGCGGGTTCACCTACAACCCGACGGGGAACTACATGGGTGGCGAAAGCGTGCGGTGAACACTTTCACAGTTTCCTATATAGCCTGGTCGCGCCTGGCCCTCTCTGTAGGATTCTAAGGATTCCAGAAACCGGATCATTGTCTGTTTACTTAATACATACCTCTACACATACCTGTCCAAAACTTTACACATGAAATAGCTGCGACAAACGATCTACATAGCATTAAAGGCAAACATTGTAATGATTTTTTATTATTTAAAAAAGGTGATACATATCCGAATTGGGACGAAGTCAGAATAAAGCAATACACGTCTCGTTTCACAATCGCAGCCTTTGAATTGCACGTCGCATTGGTAGTGCTTATTACTATTATTATTACTTTATAGACCGGCGACTGAGCTTTGCGAGACTTTTCATGTCCTGGGTGTCAAGGATATTGCGGATTATATACTCTCATACATTTCTGTCCCGATTTTTTCTTTTCTTTTCTTTTTTTTTTTCAGAGTGTTCTGAGTGTGGACAAGCAATAAATTTGTATACACAGTCTTCGTAATCACATTTCTCAAGAAGAAGAAATAAAAAAAAGGGGGGGGGGCTTCTGGTGGTTGATGTGAATTATTTGAGGAAGCAGAAGTTCTATTGACCTTGGTCATAAAAAAAAATCGCACACAATGTGTTGGAATTTAGCCTTGAAATAGCTGCCCTCGTGAACTGTGCTACATAACTGGTTCTTGATCCCAGGTTCCACAATCATTCCTATATTGCTCTGAAGTGGCCTATGGGCTTGACCTTTAGGCACTTCTTCCACGATCAGTCGAGTTTCTGTTGATCGACGCGCCGAAGTCTGCCAAAGTGTGATGTTGTATGCATATTCAAATTGAATGAGCCTTGCGCGCGCCCCGCACCGGCCCTCCGAGGCTCGGTTGGAGAAGTAGGCGCCGAGTAGTCTGGGCCTTCTTGAGGCATCCAAAGAATCAAACCGAATCAAATCTCCTAGTCTTTGTACTAGTTAACACAAGATACAAACGATGTCCGCCTTGCCTATCGCCAGCAATCTACCGCAGAATGAATCTCAACCTCAAGCAACAAGTTCGATCTCGCTATCCGAGGTTGATCTCGAAGAACTGAGCAAATTACCCATCGATTCCCTGGACACGATTCGCTCAAAATTGGTTCAATTGATTGACGCCATTACGGTCTGTCCATCTTCTTGTGGTCAACATGAAGAGCAGTGGCCTGATCGAATATGATTATAGGGCTTTAGATCCCAACTAGAAACATCGCCCCTTGCACCCAATTCGTTATCCTACCCTACTCTGATCTCGAAGTTTCTCATTTTACTAAATCATACCGAAGCCTTATCACAAGCCTTGAATACCCCAGTCCCCTCTCAACCGGTCGATCGGTTCGAACTTCCCTCTGTCAGAGCAGACCGCGAAGAGCGTGAAAAATGGGAACATGGGCCCGCAAAGCAGAGCGTCCTGGGCAATCTGGCAGCCGTACCTCGTGGATTAGAAGGGCTCGAAGATGGTAAAGACTGGATTGTTGGAGTCCTCACTCGGACCAAATTGGTATGACATTGATGATTTGAAATTTAATGCGCTTATACTGTTTATACATACATAATTACTGACTCGAAGTCTTCATTAGGCTCCTGAAATCGAGAAAGACGAACAGGATCTTTTATCATCACTTCCTCCGCCGCCGACAACTGATCCGATTCCAACGGTCGGATCGCTCTTAGAACACGTCAAGGGGCTGACCAAAGCACACGAAAAGCACATCGCCAATTGTCGGACGGCTCTTCATAAAGCTCGATACGGGCGTGCGGCGGACCCGATGGATCTCGATACCTCATCCGACAACGGGAATGCTGACGAAGGGGATGCCAAATACGAGTGGAAGATGCGAGTTGAAGTTGACGATCAATTGAAAGGTGCCAATCCGGCTGTCCCACTGCAAATCTCGCCCTCGCAAAACCCCGTCTTGAGGAATCTGCTGGGATTCATGCGTGATGGCAGGAAACCGACATATCCTTCTGCACAGGCATCTCAATAACCAAGCCTCAATCCTTCCTGATTTAGCATGAAGCTTCGTCCGAACAAACATGATCATCAGTCGCGTTTTGAATATCTGAAAGCCATGCTTGCAAAGCTAGTATTCTAGGGTCGAGAATGTTGTATGCATTTATCTAGTGTGACATGTGTACCTATTGACAAGTGTGGCTCTCCACAAAATCATTGTATCACCATGATCGAGCTATTGTCTGGTCAAGATCAAGCCCATGATTCTTGCTTACAACAAGGATGTAAGTGTATGTATGCAAGTTACGACTTCATGGTTTACAAGATCCAAGGTCTCCCTTATGTGTGTGCCATGACAAATAACTCACGAAAGAGCTTCCCTATGTAACCATAGAAAATTGGACAAAAAGAAACCCATGCCAAAGAAAATCAATTTTTCTAACCCTCTGTAGTGCTCAGTGTCTTGGGGGCTCAATTTCTAGCCACTGAAAGAATGATGGGGTTTGAAACACTCTAGACTTAATACAAGATGAACTTGTCAAGTCTGGAGCGCCTTGTGGCTATGGGACACTTGATGGTTGAAAACTTGTGTTTGAGCAAGGTTTCATTTTAATGTGACCAATTGATGTTCAATGTGACAATAAATAATTTTTTGCAAATCATGAGGTTTGAGAATTTTTAGAAAATTGAAATAGGATAAGGAGGAAAAGATGAAGTTGAACCCAATCGTAACTACTAGGATATTTGTGCAAAAAAAAGAGATTGAAGGGAAAGGAATGAATGTGCAAGTTAAGCAAGAGATAATATGACTGTGTGAGTCTCTCTGACAAGCCATTAGGCCACATAATTGCTGGCCAGGAAATTCAATGTCACAACCTCAATCTGATGGAGAATATCTGGCTTTTCCTCATTCTCCAGAGACGTTTCCAGGGCTTAAAATCAGTCTGTAAGATGCATGATGAGCTCAAACGAGCTTGGACGAATTTCCTAGCCTATATCCCCAGTAACCTCATTGGTAATTTGGTTTGATGCCTGAATAATTGATCCAGAAAAAGAAACCTTCTGGGCCTGATTTGTACATTTGGTATGTTGTCTGTCTAGTCCATCATTCAATCTTTATTCTTCTCCTTTACTAACAGCAGGGAGTTTTTGGCTCCCAAGTAAGCTGCAATGGTTTCACAATTGAAATTAATAAAGATTTCATAGGCAATGTTAAGGTGCTTTGTGACAACATTTCAGCATTTTGATAAGATGCACAGAACTCTGCAGGGTTTCTGAACAACCAGAACAGTTTTTTTCATTTTCATGTTCCAAAAATTTGTTGGTAAACACCTTTAAATGAGCTTTTAATTTTTTTTCAAATTTCTATAGAGAACCCCCTCAATACATAACACCTGATTTGACACTTGAATTTAGGACTAAGGGCATGTACAGCCCCTTGACAGAAAAAATGGAACCCTTTAATTGGGGTCTAGAGGGCAAACCAATGTACCTGAATTCATGCGTCCTGGTGAAACTGTGGAAAATGAGTTCTCAAGAATGATTCTGACAAATTGGACAAGAAAATGTTTTGTGAAAATTCTGTACATTTTTCCTCATTTTCTGATTTTTTTTTTTTTGATATTTTTCAATCATTTTTCAAAGTAGCTCAAAAAATCAGGATCAACACAATTGCATGTGAAAAGAATGATTATAAATGAAAAATTGAGAAAAATCAATGGTCAAAAGTTTAGAGAGCAGAAGAAGTTGGACTGACATTGGAATTGAATTGGATTTCAGTGCCTGATTGCAGGGTTGGTCTGGTGGATGACACAATCCAAACATGCTTAAAAAAGCTGTTGATGACTTGTCTTTCAGAATTTCATTTATAATCACTCTTTTAACATGCAATTGTGTTGATCCTGATTTTTTGAGCTACTTTGAAAAATGATTGAAAAATATCAAAAAAATCAGAAAAGGAGGAAAAATATACAAAATTTTCACAAAAAAAAAAATCCTATTGAATTTGTCAGAATCATTCTTTGAAACTCATTTTCACAGTTTCACCCAGAAGCATAAATTGAAGGCCATTGGTTTGCCCTCTAGACTCCAATTAAAGGGTTCCATTTTTTCTGTCAAGGGGCTGTACATACTACCATAGCACCTGGAAAAAAAATTCAATTCCAATCTTGGATTTTAGGTTTTTTCACAAACCAAAATTCAACTCTGATTTTGCTCCAAAAACCCAGGATTCAAGGATGATTGATGGTACACCATTTCTGCTGGATGTAATTTCCAAGTTGGAAATTGGAAATTAACACAAAATTGATGACTGTGTGGTACAGGCCCTTTTGATCTTTTTATATTTTTGCCAACCACAATTCATTTTGGAGCTGGTACTGAAAATCCGGCTTCTGTACTGTGGGAAATTGGGTGTGCATGGTACACCACTTCCGGCGGGGTCAATTTCCAACTTGAAAATTGGAAATTGACCTCCAAATTCAGGCTGTGGTACAGGCCCTAAGCTTGTTGGAATCAGCAACAGTTTTATACTGTATCAGAGTTTTTATTTTTCCCAAGTCAAGTTCTGGCTTGGAATTTCTTTTTCTGAATCTTGAAAGATAGTATAAAAATATTTTTGCAAGCTCGGCCTCCGCCATGTCTCTCTGGTGAAGTAGTGAGCGAAAAGGCAGCCAGTGAAGTTGCTTGCCGCAGCTCGTATTCATGGCAAACCCAAATTGAATAAGCATATGCATCCAAGCCGTGATCACAGCTGGGTTTGTTGCCAGCTTCCACACTGGGCGGTCAACAAGCCAAGACTCAATAACCAAGACTCAATAACCACCAACGATTCCACCCGACATAACTTCACCATGGACATCCTCAACAGCTCAGCATCCAATGGTCTCAAGACCAATCTATCCAAACCCGCGAGCTTTGCTTCTCTCGGAGTCCAACCGGATCTTGTAGCAGCGCTAACCGCGATGTCAATCACCTCCCCGAGCGAGATTCAACAGAAGGCGATTCCCGATATCCTTGCCGGTAAGCTTCATCCGGCCGTCTTCCTCAGCTATGCAGGTTATCCAGAAGATTCATAACTGACCGATATCATCCATCCCTAATCGAATAAGGAAAACAGGTCGTGACTGTATCGGCTCCTCTCAAACTGGTTCAGGAAAAACAGTGGCCTTTGCAATTCCGATCCTACAAGCCCTCGCCAAAGATCCAATCAGCTGCTTCTGTCTGATCCTGACCCCCACTAGAGAGCTCGCTTTTCAAATTGGTTCCCAACTCAAGGTACTTGGATCACTAGCAGTCCCTGGATTCACCTACTCAGTCATCGTCGGTGGGATGGATATGATGTCTCAAGCCTTAGATCTTAATAAGCGGCCACACATCATCATTGCCACCCCAGGTCGATTGGTTGATCATCTCAAGAGTGCCGAAGGTGAATTAGGCAGATGGAATCTGCGCCGATGTAAATTTCTAGTGGGTACCTCTTCCATATTACCTCCGTTCAACACGCTGCTCGACGAGGAAATTTCATTTATCTTGATTTCTGAATAAGTGTGTCTAGGTACTCGACGAGGCCGATCGAATGTTAACACCCACATTTGCAGAATCGCTATCATACCTCATCAATGAACAACTCCCTCCCCCTACCGACCGACAGACTTTACTCTTCACAGCCACGATTACCGAACCTGTCCTGGCTTTGTCCGAAAAAACGCCCCCGGCTGGTAAACAAAAGCCTGTCGTACATCTCTGTGGCCCAAGCAGGTGTGTATTCTACCATGAGACTATTTTTGACACACTTCGCATTCAAACTCTTGACTTATATTTTTGTGCGCATCGATCCTCCAGGATTAATCTTCCTGCTACCCTGAAACAATTTTACTCGTTTATCCCTTCCCAAGTCAAGGACGTCTATCTGTACTACCTTCTACTGAACGTATGTGACCTGACTGGGCTGCCACCTCCTCCTAAGCGACCGAAGGCAACAAAATCAAAAAGGGTGAAGTATTCAAACAAGACCAAGCGATTAATTAATGAAGATGATGAACCCGATCCAGTTTCCAACCTACCTCAAACCATCATATTTGTATCCAAGCCAAGGGTTGCAGAACAATTACACCTTTTACTCGAATCCTCACATCTACCGTATCCCATCAAGTCAAGGTCACTTCACTCAAACCTAAGTCAAATGCAACGCTTGGATGCGATCCGGGAGTTCGAAGAGCGTCAGGTGCCAGTACTGATATCCACCGATCTGGGTTCGAGAGGTTTGGACTTGAAACAAGTGAAATTAGTCATCAACTGGAACTTGCCCCTGGATCCTAATGAATACGTCCATCGAGTCGGTCGAACGGCTCGTCGAAATCAGGGTGGTGAAGGCGATGGGGTCAGCATTAGCTTGGTTGCTGAACACGATATTGAATGCGTCTTGAAAGTGGAAGAACAGATCGGTAGTAAATTAGAGCTGATTCCATTGAAGGAAGAGAAAGTCTTGGAATACCTGAATCCAATCTCCAAAGCCAAGCGAGAAGCTGAATTGGTTAGTCATCATGTCCCGATTGCATACCTTCTTCTCTTGCCCTCTCCTTAGATAAAAAGACTGATGGTTGTGACTTGTTCGTCGTCATATTACCATTAATCAGGATTTGAACGAGATGAAATTCGGTCAACGTCAACTGATCAATAAGAAAAAGCAACAAAAGTTGGATAAGATCCGGAAAGCCGAACAGGACCAATAATTGTACTCTTCTAAAGAACCCTTGCCTTCCATATCGATTGTTCTCAAAATTAACATTGCTTGCTTCAAAACGAGCATGGCTTGACAGAAACATCACTTGTTGATTTCAGTACTGAAATTTAACTAAAATACTCTTCTTGAGAAATCTGTATCCAAGATTCCAATATCTCGGATTGCTATACATGTTAGCTGCCTATAAGCTGTTGGCTATGTTGCATATTGCTTAGTTTGGATAAACGTTTTCAAGAAAATTATTATTTCAGAGCTCATGTTGAGCATCTCCATTGAAGAAATGTGTGTTGCTTTTGAATTGATCCCCAGCCTTTCACTACCTGTCCCGGCCTCATATTTGTTTCTTTTGCGGTAACGGTCATCATCACTGGAGAAGGTACATACACGCGTATTTTCTCGTTTGTCTTATGGACAAATTAACGATGGCAAAAAACAAAGAAAGCACAGAAGGGATGAAAAAGGTGAGGCAATTGTGAAAATTACAAAAGGTGTTCAAAAGCGAAGACAATACATGAACACCTCTGGAGGGAGGTGCTCAGATGCGTTGTAGGGGAGTCGAACCCCTGACGAGGCCACCTGCCGATGGCAAGGCCCCAGTTTACCGCTAGCCTAACAACGCTCGATGACGTCATCGTCTCGATCTTGTCTCCTTGGTGTATGCTTCAAACGAGTTGATGGTTATACCCTAGTGCCGCTCTACCACCAGCCATTGCAGGCTCAACTCTGGGAAATTTGGGTTGCACAGGTTCTGGTCACGAACCAACTACGTACGGTCAAGCAAACGCTATATCGATCGAATCCAAATGGAGGAAGAACGAGAATCTGGAGAAGTAGAAAACATGGATCGACCCCAGGAGGCAGTGGTCGACCTAGAAAACTCTCGGCCCGATCAAGCGCTCGATCAACTGCCGTCTGTCTCCGCACTAATCGAGGAAACAGGACAGGAAGAAGCCATTGCAATCCCACAGGAAACAAAGCAAATTCCGCCTGGTAACGACCGAGAGCCTTCCTCGGATAATGTGTCGGTTCGATCTAGTGGATCATCGATTCCAGAAGATCAAGATGAAGAAGATGACCAAGAGGAAGAAGAAGAGGAAGAGGAAGAGGAAGAGGAAGAGGAAGAGCCCTTGTTCAAGTATCAGCGTCTTGAGGGTCACATCGACAAACTGTTCCAAAATGACAACGCTTCAGCATTAACCACTTCAGAAAAGCACATTGTAAGCCTGAATCTCAATCGAAATTCCATCAATCTTGAACGTGATTCTGACGCTTCTTTGACATTGGTGCATGCTGAATATAATTTAGGGTCTCGGTACTCACAACGGAGTTGTCTACATCTTAAATCATCGAATCGAGCTAATCAAACGCTTCAGACCACACTCTGCAACGATTTATGACATCAAGATCGAAGTTTCCGAACAATTTGTCGCCACGGCTTCGATGGATGGAAAGATATCTATTGTCCAATTATCTGGCGGAAATGATGTGTTCATACTCGATCTCAAACGGCCTATGATGGCCGTCGCAATGGAGCCTTTATACCACAAACACCCCAACAAACGTCAGTTTATCTCGGGTGGTTTGGCCGGCAATTTGACCTTGCATGAGAAGGGCTGGCTCGGCAATAAGGAAACCGTCTTGCATTCGAACGAAGGATCGATTTGGTCTGCAGAATGGAAAAACAACCTTGTAGTTTGGGCTAATGATACTGTTGGTGCCATTTTTCTTCTAGCGTGGTCTTTCCTCTTCTTCTTCTTCTTCTTCTATATGTGGTCTTCGTGTGTATCTCGGGATCCTGATACCAACTCGAAGGAGATCTGTTTTGTTTTGTTTTTGATTTGGAATTTGCAATCTCACTGGGCTTAGGGCATTCGAATCATCGACATCAACACTCACCAAAAAGTCGCATACATTCCCCGTGGAGCAGATGAACCTCGTGCGGATCTCTATCGCTGCCATTTCTCTTGGTCAACGCCTGAAAAGCTGCTGGTTGGTTGGGCGGACACGATCCGGGTCGTTTCCATCAAGGAAAATTCAGCTCCCACCTCCATTCATCGCGGCTTGATCCCTACGTCTTCGACAAGCTCTCCAAATCTGCCCGTCAAAGTCGAGATGGTCTTTCAGGTTGATTGCATCATTTCGGGCATTTGTGCGTGGGAAGCTGGAGGATCTCCAGACATTGCTATCCTAGCTCATACCAGTGAGCCTGAAGATTCGGATGTAGATGTAACAGGAAATGAGCGTCCTCCATCCGATGACGGTACAGCCGACTCGATCGCTCCACGCTCCTCCAAGCGAAGACCAGCCCAAAGACCTGAGCTTAGGATCATATCATCCAACGGAGAAGAAATCTCATCTGATGCACTGAATATCAACTCCTTTCAACGTTATCAACCTAATGATTATTGCTTGTGCTATTTACTTCCACCGTCAGAAAGTGGGAAAAAGAAAAAGATGGATGATGAAAGTCTCTACGTGATGTCACCCAAAGATTTGATCTTAGTCGAACTTCGAAATCGATCGGATCATATCAGTTGGATGATCGATCATGAAAACTATGAAGGAGCCATGAAGGAGGTCGAGGAAGCTGGTTTAGCTGGAGCTCATGGATACAGTTTGAGTGAGATTGGTCAAAAATATCTGAATCATTTGATCAGTCAAGGTGATCAATCCCTCGATGCCCTCACACCATGTCAGAACCGTTAACTCGTGATGCTGATGAAGTTCATGCGTACGTTGTTTTGTTCGAGATCTGGTAAAATTTCAGGTCAATTTCAAGTTGCTGCAAACGCCTCTCCGTCTATATTAGCAAACGATGTCAAGGCATGGGAAGACTGGATATTCATGTTGACCGAAAAGGGCCAGCTCGATGTAAAGCCAATCTACTTCTTTTGCGAAGCCATGATCGACTAACATCTCTGCTTATCCACTTGTAATGTAGGTCATAATTCCACACGTACCTACAGAGGCGCCTCGACTATCGAAAGTGGTGTATGAAATCATCCTGGTTCATTTGCTCAGATCAAACACACAGGTGAGAAGCACAGTAGTTTTGTCAACCACTTCTTTTCTTTTTTGTCTGGGAAATTCATTAGCTGTTTGATTTTTTGTGGAAAGGAAATGCTTAATATGATTCGAAAGTGGAGTCCTGAGCTGTACTCCATTCCAGCCGTCCTCTCCGCTGCCCTCGATCGACTTTCTCGAGATTCTGGGAGCTCTGGAATATTGATGACATGTATTGCAGAACTGTATGTAACATCACTATTTTTTTCATATTCTCTTTGCTGGCCTTAAGGAAAGTCATCTCATCCAAACTTTCTTTCTTACTTGCCTAGATATATCTTAAATCATCAACCGGGAAAAGCTGTGTCATATCTACTCCGTCTACGCAAGCCAGAAGTGTTTGATTTGATCAAGGAAAACAATCTGTTTACTGATGTGCAAGACCAAGCCTTGCTTATGATCAAATTCAGTGATGAGTTGAATCGGAAAAACCTGAATCGATCAGACGATGAAAGGTCAGGTGACGAGGCAAAGGGACTTTCAAAATCTCCAGCAACGCAAGATGAGCAAAGTCCACGCGAGTACGGCGCAGCTATCAATTTACTCGTTCAGCACACTTATTCCATTCCTGCAAGTATTTTTCTCCTCTCAAAAAGATGAGATGACCATCTCTTGGAACTGATGAAATTCGTACTACGTCTAGGTTGCTAGAGTGATAGCACAGCTGGCCGATCATCGCAGATATCAGTTCATGTACCTGGATGCGCTGTTTGAGGTCGATCCATCTCTTGGGACGGATTATGGAGATTTACATGTGGATCTGTTTGCAGAATTTGATCGGCAACGATTGATGAAATTCTTGAGAGCGAGTACATTCTATGACCTCGAAAAAGTCAGTAATTCTAATACTCGTTTGCTTTATTCATCTACCTTTGCATGAAGATATAATCTCATCATCATTGTTCTCTCGCCATCTCGGCTGCTTACTTTCTCTCAAAGGCGTATCAAATCTGTCAAGATTTGAACTTCGTGCCTGAAATGGTTTATCTTTTGGGAAGGATGGGAAATAACAAAAAGGCCCTGTTTTTGATCATTGATCGGATTGGAGATGTCCACCGAGTCGGTTTCCACTTCTTCTCGTCTTCTTCTTTTCTTGAGTTTGTTACTAACACATATGTGCCATTTGGATTTTTTTTTTCTTCTAGGCTATTGAGTTTGCAAAGGAGCAAAATGATGATGATTTGTGGGAAGATCTCTTACGCTATTCAGAAACCAGACCTGGTAGGGGCCAATTTACTCTTCCTTAGTCTCGCTGTTTTTAACTTTTATTTTTGGGTTCAGCTTTTATCAGGGGTCTATTGGATAATGTCGGCTCGGAAATTGACCCGATTAGATTGATACGCAGGATTCAGAACGGATTGGAAATCCCTGACCTGAAAGCTTCCATCATCAAGATACTGCAAGACTTTCATCTTCAGGTTAGAGGCACATTCACTGGCATCCCTTCGAACTTCACGCTGATTGAGTATCTTGTTTGTTGATGGCAGATATCGCTGATAGAAGGTTGTAGATCGATCATGGTTAGTGACTGTAGAGACCTTTCGAAAGTGTACTATGCAAGCCAAACGTTAGGCGCTTTGGGAGATCGTAAGTGTCCCATCGTGATCATACACCCTCTGAGAGAAGCATGAAGAGGTTTACGTATTGAGAGGAGGTCTCCCTTTGATTAGCTTCTTTGCGATGCCAAAAGTGCAACAGATTGCTAACAGAGCCCAGCAAGCCGGTAGCAGCAACGGATGACGGGACTGAGCTGGTAGCCGACAACTCGATCGCGATGATGGGCTCGGCATTATCGATCATGTTCCTCTGTCGACATTCCTTCCATTCGCTCTGTGTCTTCGACTCCAATACCGTCCTCGCCGCATTAGCCGAACAACAACTCGATCGCAGTCGGTCCGCGTTGGGTGACGCCATCGTCGATCGAGCTGGCGAACGCTATAATGCTATCAATTTGAAATTCGCTCAAACCCTGATCCTCAGATCTGGCGATGGCTCTTGTCCTATCTGTACCTCTGGATCTAAGAAGAGTTTTCTTTCTCATCCTAACTGACCTCTATTTATTAACATGACATTTGTTTTCTTCTCATCCTTTATAAATGAACCAGAAAAACCTAGAGGGTTTGTCACCTCAGCATATACTTACTCTTACACGCATATGCATACATGATGTTTATTTATTCTTTTTGTATGGTTTCTACTTTGTACTTGTCCTTTTCTATTTACTTCGATAGATATTGATTTCTAACTTCACAATCTGGGCTCATAATTACAATATTTTCAAGCTGGGGCTCGATTTGATCCAATTTAGATTCAAGTCCAGCCAAACAAAAAATTGGTTTATTGAAGGCTTTGCCATTAGATAAAGTACAAGAGGATTGTCTGCATTGGATAGGGGAGTTGAACAATGCAGTGAATCCAACAGATGCTGCTACATCTGTCACTTACTACTATAAAAGGATTCGAGACTTGGAAGTTTTTTTTTTTTTTTTTTGATAAGCAATGAAATTCTTCGACTCATAAGAACGATAGGCAAAAGAACAAGCACAAGCTGCAAGTTTAGCATGATTATTATGTATTTGATTTTTAAATTTGATTTATTCTTTTTCTTAAAAACCATGGAATAAGACAGCACTTGAATCTAGACTGCACATGTGTATGGGTCTAAATTGGTAAGCTTTTTTGATATGTTGATGTTTCTTGGTTCTATGCAATGGATTGATATGAGGGGAAAAAAAAACTGTGAATGCACAAACGCTAAGCCTTGCAAGCGTAAAAGATATGTTCAAGATCGTTCTAAATGTGAAATAGACTAGCTGGGGTGGGGGGGGGGGGCTTCTTGAGAGATAGATGAGGGCAAGATTTTAGGAGCTACATGGTGCCGTTGAAGGCCAGGGAAAACAGTCTGGATTGGAGAGGATTGATTGGGTTAGACGCTTGATAGATGAGATAATCGAGGTGTTATGTATTGGAATTGTGTATTCACCTTTGGGGTTCTTTAAAACATGCGTCCGTATGCACTCCAACTTTTTGCCCGGGTCAAGTGGGGAGAGGGAGTTTCCACGAGACCACTCATTCGGTAAGGACGTCCATACATGCCCATGCCCATGCCCATTCCTCCCATGCCCATGCCCATGCCCATTCCACCCATGCCTACTGGCCCCATCCCCATCATTGGACGTGGTCGAGTCATCATACCGGCGCCGTAAACGGAGCCGGGACCATACATAGAAGGCCCGACACCATAACCGCCCATTCCGCCGTACATGCTGCCGTAGCCAGCACCAAGACCCATCCGACCCATCATCGGATCCATGGCGTAAAGATCCCCTCTCATCATCTGGGCGCGCAGCATCTGCTCCCGGGGGCTCGAGCTCATCATCCCCATTCCAGGACCATACGCACTCCCGTACATGTTGTTTCCGCCGATGTTTCCGCCGAATGAAGCTCTGCGTCGATGTCCACCGAAGGTGTCTTGGTCGAAATCTCCGATCGTCGAGCCTCTTGGTCGACAGTACTCTAGGTCCTCCTCGTCGTCTCCGTAAAGTTGACGACCAAGTTGATAGTTGGCTACAAAGATTTAGGATCAAAATTGGCTGCGTCAGTCGATCTGGTAAAATTTCTTGTCTGTCTGAGCTTCAATGGAATCTTCAATTAAAAGAAAGAAAAACAGAAAAGATAGAGTGGGAAATATTAAGTTGTTGGAAGAGGTTTAGGAATCTTGGAAAGGATCAAACCTTACGAGACTAGACGCAAATTTCTAGAAATTCGACACGCGGGTTAAGGATGTCGGTAAGGGGAATTTTTATGGATGTTTATTGTTTTTTTATTTATTTATTTTTATCGATGGGGTGTAATTTAGAGGCTCCTTTCAGAAATACGGAAGGAGAATGATAGGCAGAAGAGCTAGCAAAAAAAAAAATCGACGAATTTGAGAACACGATTTCGTCTGAACTCTTACACCATCGTCTTTGAGAAAAAGAACTCAGGGGGCTTAAGACTGAAGAGGTACAGTGAGACGTATGCCCACCCGGGGAAGCTTGAAAAAGCCTTTTTCTGAGAAGGTGGTATGAGAAAGAAGTTGGGGGATGAAAAGATTCCTAAGTGGAAGAGCGACTGATTTTTATGCGTGTTGAGAGAGAGAGAGAGGTTTTTCGTCTGCAGGTCAACTGCTTGGTAGGAAGTTCGTTATGCCAGAGCTGAGATATCTGGGCATCCAACAACAACAACAACAACAGCAATGATTTGGAGCTTCGGATGACAGCCATAAAGCTCTATAGACTCTTATTAAACTTTCATTTAGGGCGTTGTGAGGGCAAGCTATCTTCGGGGAGAAAGGGAGGATAGAGACGGAGCTCGATAGATTCCAAAATTTACGTAGACTAGCCCACCACCACGTTGATGGAACCATGAAAGACGGCCCTCAATGACATTCCCACTGTGTGAGGATGACTCGAGAACGCGCTCAGCCTCAGGGGGCCCCGATTTCACAGGCACGGCGAACCCCAGGACTCTAGCACTTCGGTCGCGATAGCAAATGTCTTGATTGAAAAACTAATGACGGATAAGGTTAAGGGATGCGAGTAATGAAGAGATGATTGCACAGGCGTATGCCCCTTGACGGTGACATTGTTATTATCAACCGAGGTCTCATGCGAGCGACTCGTTCAGCAGACATGTGCAATGCTAGGATTAAAAGATTACAGAACGCAGATGCTTAAATCACACGCTATGAAAGACTCTTCGTACTCACATGGTCGGCGTTGCAAAAAGTGTTGGCCTCGCTGGTCGCCCGGGTAACAACGGCCTCCCGGATTAAAGTTTCGACTCTCACTTCGATAAGTGGGGCCGGCAGACATGGGCCGGTTGTTGTACGTATCTCCATGTGTTGACATGGCACGCGGATGGTTATACGACTGCATTTCTCCGACCGAAAGGTTATACTTTTTTGTTGGAGGGGGGAAGAGCGTCGACGAGCTATTGGAGCTCTTGGAGGGGCCTCGAGGTAGTTGGTTGAGATAGTGACCGAGAGCTTATAAGGAGGTTCCGGTTCCTGGTCGGTACGATCTGAATCAGTCACCATGCGCTCGTCCAGAAAATGAAAGAAGTGAATGCCAGATTAATGCAAGGTAAGATGAGCTCACTTTCTGTTGGTGTCGGTGGCGTTGATAGTGGTCGTTCGTGGTCTGCGTTTCCTTGATTCAGCAAACGAAGTTCGAGTGAAATTTGGCTGTCTGGATGCGAGGACCGCGTTGATTGTTGGGACGGATGGCAGAGTTTTATGCACCTTCAAGTGGTGAAGCTGTATGGTAAGAGTGTGCTCCTAGTGAAGAAATCGGTGCACACTGGATATACGGCCAGACTCCTTGTTTTGTTGTGACGAAGTCGCTGTAGAGAATAGAGAGATACAGTGCCACTATGTAACAGGTATCGTGGATGCTATCCGCAGACAAATATCGGCACTTTGTACGTCAGTCGATGTCGATGAGCTTAAAGTTGACTCTACGAAGAGTTTTCAGTTTGTTATAAGATAGTTTCAATCTTTCAAGGAATCACAAAAACTCAGAATCGTATTGTAACAATAGGGAGGAATTCTAGACAAGTCTCCGATCACAATTTGATTTGCGGAGTTTCTATTTAAATAATTATATCTAAACAAGTATTTACATGTGCCAATCGAGGTGGACGGCCAGGCCAGATTGCCAATGAACTCTCAGCTGACTTGAAGACACAGTCGATTAATCACAGAGGATATTGGAGAATACCCTGGAAAGTTTAATCAGCCCAGGCGTGAGTTGTACGTAGCGTTGGAGAATCGCGGTGGCGGTTGTCCGTACTGCCTCTACCACCTCGATTAACCATTCACCTTCACGTTTCATCACCCTCGTCCAGTCCCGCAATGGTGTATTATGTGGGCCAAAGGAAAGAGTCATGACGAGATTTCATTACATAGCCATTGCCCCTCACGAAGTGGTCTCGGCGACCCGCACACAATGAAGAGTGATAAAGTATGGCCGTTTCATCGCATAGCTTGGATATTCTATGTCGGCAGTCGACAAGAAAGCTCATTTAACACTTGTTGATCGTTCGCGGTTTTGATACGCAGACGCGGAGGAGCCAAGTTTAACGGAGCACCAAAAGACTCAAGATGAAGAAGACCAGTTCCAGACGGGAATGCCGTGCCGCTAGCTGAATGGTAACCAATCATCCTGGTGTCACTGCCTCCATTCTCAACTTGAGGTTTTGACTCGCTACACTGAGCCCTTTGGGAAAACATTGGTGACCGACTTGAGGGGGATGAAATGGGCGACCTTGTCGAGACGCGGTGCTCCTTGGAACTCAGGTCTTGCGGCCAACCCTTAAAACCCATTTATAGGTTGTAAACTTTAAATCAAGATGGAGTTTGAAGGCAGCCGGACAAAGTTTAAAGGCGCTATATGCCAAATTTGCAGTGGTTTGTACATTTGTAGATTGGTATCAAGTGCACTGCGCATTCAAACTCGAGTGATATCAGGTGGGATATTGCATGCTGCGCATTGTTCATGGGCTGCGGCAACCATGATTTGACGGTGCTTGAGCTGTCGTATAAAAACATGACTTGACCCCGGTCAAAGATGCCAATCACAACTGCCTTCGTGGCTTTTGTCACGTTCGACCTTGCCCCCAAACATTTGGGGGCAACTGCCCTGTCCCGGTCCCAGTTTGACCTGAGTGGCTTGTTTTTGCGGTACCCGGGACCGAACGAGATCATCATCGGGAACCATTAAGCCGGCCTTTCAACCGATGTCCCTTTGAGGACTGCTGATGGGTGAATACAGGCGACTAGGATCCCGAACATCCATTTTTCTCCAAAAAAAATCCCACCATGTTTATGCATTGACCCTTATCATGCTCCTGCCGAGCTGCTTTATTTCAACCCTAGTTGTTCTTGAATTGTCTCTTATATTGTATCAGTATTCAGTACCAACCACTTCATGCCATTCGAAATTTGTTTGTTTCCAAATCGAGTTAAGAGAGGACCCCGGAAACCCCCTACAAATGTGGGTGACGAAAAATCCAATATTTTGCGAAATTTCATACATTTTTGGAACCCATTCATACACGTTTCGTGCGTATGCTCAGGGGATTTCCAATATTTTCATACATTCTTTGTGCCTACCATTTTTTTTCTCGCCTGAGAGGCTCAAAGCCCATTTTTGCCGTAAGCCTTTCTCGCTAACTATAGGGGCGCCAATCTGTGTTGGTGCACACGCCAACACAAAGAAAAACAACAAAAAAAGTATTGAATTGTTGTAGGTGAGATAAGTACATGAAACTAGAAGTTTTATTGGTGAGGGGGGAGGCTGGAGGAGGGGGAGAGGCAAAAATTCAGGCCAAGTCATGCTGCCGAGGGGGGGGGGGGTGCAAAAAATTACCACTTGTGCACACCCAGGACTTTCATACATTTTTCGTTACCACCCCCCCTCCCCCCAAAAAAATTTCATACATCTGAGGTGAGTATGCTTACTACCAAAAAAGGTCATTCATACACATTTTGTGAGTAACATTTTGGTTATTTCCAATAAAATTCATACATTTTCGTCACCCACATTTATAGGGGGTTTCCGGGGTCCTGTTAAGAGCGTCTTGATCGGCGGCTTTTGATTGCTCGAGCCAAGCCATTGAGCAACGAAATGGGGTCAAGGCTCAAGCCCAACCCGTGTCACGTCGCTCAAAGCTAACTTGCAAGCTAAAGCGGTCTCCGCACCTCAATTTGGCGCCCTCCTGCCAACAGCACACACGTTGACCTCAAACCACACCATACATCTGCCTTGCTCAGCCTTTCCGTTGATCGCACAAAGTGCTAATTTAATAAAGGCCTCCCTGTACTTGAGCTGACTTAACTAAGCCTCCCGGAACGGGGGTGCAGAGCACCCCAATGCGGAGCATCTCCCATTCCCAATCCTGGCTTTACCAGGCCCTCCTAACGATGGGCTTGTGTTAAGTCAGTACTTGAGGACTTTTTTGGGTGGAGCTTAAGTTTGGCTGGTGGTGAAGCCACAGATAATGGATGACTTCCCATTGCAATCTACGACCCTCCCAGAAGTTGTTTTACACCACCTAGATCTAATTTTTTTATCAAAAAAAAACTTTTTTCTGAAGCCTCCCGGCAATAGCTCTCACATGAGCTGGTTGAAATCTTAATTTCTTTCTTGATTTAAGACTGAGAGAGGTCTAAAAAGTGCTCTAAATCGCAAAGGGGAGTCCTCCAATTCCCGTTGCATTCTAGAACCCTCCCAGAACCCAAATTACACCCCCCAGAGCTAAGTCTCATGTGAAATGGTTGAAATTATGATTGGGGTGTTAATTTAGCACTTGAGAGGGCTGAAAAGTTACTCTAAATGGCGACAGGAAGTCCTCCAATGGAGGACTTTGGAGGAATTCCCATTATCATTCAGAGTGCTTTTTAAACCCTCCCCAATCATAATGGAGGACTTCCCATCCAATCTGGGACTCTTGCAGAAGTCAATCTCAACCCAAAAACTCTTAATTCTTGCAGAGAAATTTGAATTTTGAGGCTCTAAACCGGCTCTGGGAGACCCACAGATGTTGACGGGAAGTCATCCAATTAGAGCTATCTTCACAAGGCTTGTGAAAAACAATTTTTTTATACCAAAAATTAAGATCTAGGGGGTGTAAATTAAATTCTGGGAGGGTTGTAAACTGTGACGGGAAGTCATCCAAATCCAATGGATGACTTCCAATTGCAATCTATGACCCTCCCCAAAGTCAATTTACACCCCTTAGATCTAAATGGTTGGTCAAAAATTATTTTCAGAAACCTTCTAGCAATGGATCTCATGTGAGCTGGTTGCAATCTTGATTGTGTTGTAAATTTAGGAAAAGGACTCTAAATTGTGATGGTTGCAGGACTTCCTGTCATCCAAATTTGTTAATTTAGAAGGAGATTTTAAACATTATTTGCCGGTGAAAACCAATTGAGATGAAGTTTTCACCAGCCAACAGAGTTTAGGACCCCCATCTGAACCAAGTGGTTTAGGCAACAGGAAGTCCTCCATTCCCATGCAAAATGGAGCCCTCACAGAAGTCAATCTAGACTTGAAAGCTCTAGATTCTCACAGGGGAATTTGGTTTCCAAGGCTCTAGATTGGTTCTGGGGGACCCGCAGATTCTGACAAGAATTCCTCCAATATATCAGTGAAGGAATTAACTTCACTAAATTGATGGGAGAATTCAGATTGTGCACATAAATTAGAGACCCAATGGTGGTTGTTGAACTCCATTCTGGTTCAAATGTCTGGTCAACAGAAATGACTTACTCCTGTTCATTCTACTTTGGTTCATGCTAATTTGCACATAGGGACCCACCAGTAGTTTCTTTGCTTGAAATTTCCAAATGGATAAGTTTTAGGTTGAATTTTAAATGATTCTTCAGCTCATCATGTGCAGATGAAGATATTTGGGTAAGTTTTTAATGAAAATTTATTCAAGAATTATTTTCAGAATGTTTTGTGGAACCATCTTCAGTCTCTGAAATTTTGCCTTGGATTGCAGGATCATCCTCAGCTACCTTTTTGGCTTGCTCAGGCAAAGCTTTGGCTTTGATTCTGGACTGGTACTCTTCATTCACCCTTTGCATCTTTATATGTTTAGGTGTTTCATCAGGATGTATAGGAGGGCTTGGTGATCTTGAGTTGGATTCAATTAGTTTCATGATTTCAATCATCCTGGGAATTTCTTCATGGAATCCATCTTCCATTTGTTTGATTATTTTTGGAATCTGGTCACGTTCCTCCAATGCTTTATTTAAGGTGTCCCAATTTTCATAAATCATCTTTGCTGCATTGTTCAGATTGATACGAGAGTCAGCAGTCAGGCCTTCAAATGGGGTGTCCTTTAATCGCATATCACCATCTACTAAAGGTCTGCGGTATATTTCAGAAAGTCTTGGGTCAAAGTTTTCCAATTCATTGAATATGCCTCCTCTACTGACAGGATCTTTTGGTAATTCAGTAATTTCAATTGACAATATGCAATTGGAAAAATTGAAAACATGAAGGGTAAATTAGTGTCAATTTATTTCCATTATAGTTAAATTTTATAACTACTTACCTATGGATTGTGGGATTTTGATTTGACTCAAAAATTCATCAATGAAGTGCTGATATGGAAACTTGAATCCTTCATGTTTGGTGGTGACTTTTTCAGGTGCACAGGCCTCCACATATGCCTTTGCCAGTTCCTGGGGGTCTGGTTTCAAAACCATTTCTTTTACAGCCTCTAGTTTGTATGCATTCAAAGCTTTATCGAAAATCATTGAGTTGGCTTTCAAAAATGCATCTTTTGTAAGGTAGAAAGATTTTGCTTTATTGTCAATTTTTTCAAGATATGATTTGGCAAGTAGCTGACTGGCTTTTTTTTCTATGTTGGTTATCTGATTTTTCATTTCTTGTGGATTTTCAATTTGGTTCAAAAGATCCTTTTTGAATTTTGCAAGTAGAATTTTAGTGAAATCTTCCCGTGTCCCCAAAGATTCCAAAAAATCCTTTCTGGTTATCTTATCAACTGGAATCCACTTTGAATGAATAGATGAATCAATTATTCCTTTTTGGAACAAATATTCAATGTATGGGTAATTTACTGGATTGGAGTTTACTGCATCACTTTCCAATTTCTCTAAAAAATTTATATACTGTGCCTTGGTCGCATATTCTGTTCCAACTCCTCTGTGATCCATAATTTCATCAACTTTCTTCTTTTCTCGTGTCATCATGTGACGTATTTTTCCCCTGAAGCTTCTTCGATTAGATGACACTGACTTGAGGGCTTCATAATCTGTCTTTGGTAGGTCTTCCTTTCTTTTTTCAATTGCGTAAAGAATTCTCTCGAAATCTTGAGGTGATTGGTTCAAGTTTTGAAACATTGTAAAAGGGCGAAATTGAGTCCATCTCTCATAGGCACCTTCATCCATAGTCTCAACGTAGGATTCTAACTGTGGCCTTATACTTGAGTGCTGAGAAAGGAAATTTCCAATTTGCTTTTGAGCGGTATCCTCAATGACGTTCTGGATGCTTGGGCGTAGTTCTTTCAGTATTTTTTCAAATCCTTCAATGAGTGAATAGCGATATATCTCTTCTTTCAAGTCAATATGTAAGGGCAAGTCATGGATGAGTTCTTCTGCAGTCAAGAAAAACTTATCTTCACCTTCTTGATCAGCAGCCTTTTTTGTCAACTGAACCACCCGGGCTTTAGAAAACCTAACTATGAAGTCGGAGTCCAACGGCTTGCCCAGACTCGTGAAATATGACCCGATGTTGTGTTGTAGATTCGGATTTGCTTCCATAATATTAGCTATTGCCGATTTGTATTCAACTTCAAAATCCTCGAATAGCTTAGTTTTGTCCAGCTTCCATATCAATGTAGCAACATCATTTGTGACTGTCTGTTCAGCCGCATTTAGGGTCAATCTTGTGGAAACAGTTTTCACTTTACTCCAAGCCTCCTTTGCAGCTGTAATAGTCGCACGAGCTGCCAAGTACCGTTTTAACATCTTCAAGTATCTATAATAAGATTCTGTTGAGGAACCTTCTGTCTTAAGAAGCTCTGCAAAGTTCTTCATGTTGTACTGCTTTCGATTTCCTAATTTGAGATGGATGTTTTGCTTTGAAAAGGTCTTCACAATATCAAACTTTGATTCATCTGTAAGAAAAATAGAGAATTCCACATATGAACGATAAACGCTTCCAAGTCATGAAGCTGGGAATGCGGGCATACCAAAAACTATTTTCTCCTCGTCGGTAGGGGGACGTCGTTCAGATATCTTTAACATAACAGAAACCCTGGTCAGCAATAAATTCAATTGGTTTTCAAAGAAGATTGTTCTTTTACTCACAAGTTTAACCCCAAATCTTGAAAAAACCGTGGATACGGTTATAGGAGAAGGAATCAAGTGTGGAGTGAAAGAAAGGTTCAGATTGACACCAATCAATGGATCAAAATATAGGTTCAACTCTGGGAATGGGAGCTTACAATCTATCATTTGGCGGTTCGTCCAGTAAGGACAATGGAGAACCTTGAGTTTCAATGGGACAAACTATGCAAGCCGAAAGGTGTAAGTATGGAAATGGTAGCTCACAATCTATCATTTGATGGCGGTTGACTCGGTCTGTCCGGTTGCTTGAGATTGGACTGCGATCGGAATTTCAAGAAGTTTCAATAAAATTGGGAAGGCTCAATCAGCATCCTTAGATATATTTTTGCGTACCGTAGGTTTCTGCGCAAAGGAGAATAGTCAGATATATTATATTCAGCTATATCATTACTAAAAATCAAATTCAATTGGAATTAAGACCTACAAATTTACGCCCCCACCGCGCCTTGAAGCTCTTCATCCAATCACTGGATGAGCGAAAAGAGCTTGATGAGTTCTCTATGCTTTCTTGGGACTTGTATGATTATAAAATTATGAGAGGTGTGCTTACGTTATAGCCTTTGTGCTCTTGGTTTTGAAACGGCTTACTGCCACTCGCTAAGAATTATCATGCATGTCAGGACCCGAGGTGGGTAAAATCAGGCCTGATGGTTTTTTGGTTAGAACTTACGACTTTACCCCAGATTCCAACTATCCACTGCCATAGTGAAAACTGCAAAAGAACGGTTAATTCCAGTGAGTTGTGAGCTGAACTAAGACTTGGAGACTTCGAGCTATCTGAACAGTTCTCGCCTTTGGTTTGTTCTCAGTTCTGATTTTTCTCATAATCATTTGGAGCATAAGTATTTCTTCAAGAACTGCTAAAATTTATACGACAATTCTTCTGGCACACCTTATTTCTTCTGGTAAATCTGATGAAGGTTTGGACTGGTGTTGATTTTTAGGCATAGAACTGTCCTTAGAGTTCCCGGGAGAAGTGGGGTTTCCTTTTAGCGTAGATCGAGAATTTCCTTTCAAAGACTCATCAGACGCTGGATTTACTCTTCGTACGGGCTGATTGTGTAGGGAGAGTAATGGGTCCCCGGCATCGAGGGGAGAATGATTGTGCGAAACTGGAGTCGAATGTTTGAATTCTGAACCATCAACAGTGGAGACTGCACCCCGACACTCCGTCCCATCTTTCATAATGTTTGGTTCTTTTCCATTCGTGATAATCTTGGTAGCTTGTCCATAAAATGATGGAGGTTCAAGACCATGAACGTTGTGAGAATGATAACTCGAAAACAAACAGAAAAAAGCGATCACCGAAGGAATCAATGAGCAGGTGAGCATGTTGCTAGATTTCAACCCGGAGAATTCAAAGAATAGAAAAGACAAGCGGGCGCCTAGATAGTAGCAATGGACGTAAGTAGTTGCGATGATAAGGCAAAATTGTACGGAATATTCACAAAAACGCACACAACAAGCTGGCGGCAAGGTTGCGTCGTCTTTTTCAGCATATATCGCTTGGCATAGGCTTGCTGATACATGAATAAAGACTCGCGCACCTAGGATCGAGAGGATTATTGATACATATGCTGCTGCAAGAATTGAGCGAGGACTCCATATGTCGTAAGAGCTGCAACTTTATGTTTCAGCTTCCTTCGCTGAAGCAGGTGTTTTCCAACCCGCGGAGCGTGGTTGTCCCGCCGTTGCAAACTTTTCTCTGATGATTCAACAAAAAATTTACATTTTTAGGTTTTATCGACAGCAGACGGTGAAGAAAGAAGACAGTCCTATACCATAATGATAGGAGTACGAAAAGCTCATACAGTTTCCATATGTTATTATATGAACAGGTCCCTCCCATGACCACCATACACCAACTTGACGAGCTGATTTGGACTAACATGGGCATATAACCTCGAGGGGTAACCAGACTGGTAATTCAGGTGCAACATAGAAACACGGTCCGATAGTTGAGGGGGGGGGGGGGGGGGGAGTCAGCCTGTAAGAGCATTAAGGCCTATTACATATAAAGGTTCTTTTTAAATAATGAGTTGGGATTTTATGAGGCTCAAGTCTCATGAAATAAATTCAAATAACTCAAAATTGTCTGAGTTCAGGGGCCAGAAAAACTCAAGAGCACTTGAAGATCAGAATGAAATAAATAAGTGATTGGATTACATTCCTCCAAGAAATCTGATTCTGATGCAGCCTAAATGAGGGAGAAAATATAGGGAAAAATATAATGAGAGAAGATTGTTATATACATGCCGGGCGTAGGTTGTGTTGAATTCTGAAAGAAACTAAATAAATACTTGAATATATACTGCAACTAATCACAAGTGTTTAACGAAGATTTGGGACTCATGTTGATAACGATAGAATCCTTTTTTTGTATGTATCTATTTATCCAGAACGCTCGTTCGAAAGATAATTCGGAATTTTGATCGAAACAATTTATCCACACAGCTATGATGCTCGTATTGACAATGACAAGCTCTTCTCACTGGAGATGTCCTGATTGAAACGTGAACTTGTTGTGAGATTGTCTTTCGAATCTTCGCAGGACTGATAGCTTACTTCACTCATTCGTCGGGAAGAGGAGCACGATTCTACAGAGTCGCTATCTTTGGGGTTTGTTTGGAAAGCGTTGGATGGAGGACTAGTGGGTTGGATGAACCAGAAATCCGGATAGGCTCGTCGACCAACGTTACCCCACAGCAACGCCACTCCTAGCATGCATAAGACACTCGACATAACGAAACCGACGTAGCGCCAACCGATTCTGATAAAAGCGGGCTGGATCGTTCCGATGAGAGCCGTCCCTCCTGCGGGTGGATGGACCAGACCGAATATCTTTTATCAGTAAATCCAGAAAGAAGGAAAAAAAATCAATTCTATCAGCTAACAACTCTACATAACTATTCTACAATGCTCTCCTTGTGATAGCCATATCATTCTTTCCGTGGTGGACATAGACCAAACTACATCTCAAAAAAGAAAAAAAAAGAGAGAGTACCTTTTGGAATATCAGCGTGGACGTGACAGCGACGCAAGCCCATACCCATACTGTCTGGGTGGTCATCTGGCCAGCAATAAGGATCGTCTTGTGGGCATCTGAGAGAAAAAGTTTGGCTATAACTGTAGCAATCATACTGGCGAACAAATGGCTGAGAAAGACATTCCGGGGAGCGGCTGCAGGCGAGTGAGGAGTCAGATACAATATAATCGACAGAGCACCAACGAATCCTAGGCTGATGGGGATCGGAAGAGAGGAGAAGGGCGTCATAGTGTTGATGGCGATTACACTTATCAGGCCGAAGTTCGTGCAGAAACAAGCTGAGGGGAAACGAACGTTTGTCATGGACAATCGGGAAAGGTAAGCAGCGTTCAAACATCAGATTTGTATTCCAAAGGTTGAAATTTCACAACAGCAGAAGAAGAAATCTATGTATGCACCAAAAAAGTATTCCTCCACTACGAGAGGCACATGGAAGGTATCAAGCCATTGCAACATCCATATCGGTCGACAAATACCATCCTTTCGATAACCAAGGAAGCGGGAAATACAAGCAGGCAATTTTGGGCGCACGTCAAAGTTGGCCAGCTCTTCAAGCGAGCGAATTGTTCGGGCTGAAGGACGGCCCAGGGTTGAGAGTTGACTTTCCAGCTCACCTAAACTCTTGCTGGCAGAAGTGACCGGAGAGTCTTTAGAGTGCGAAGAATCTGTTTCTGATGAGGCCGTGCTTCCTGCTCTCAGAGACCGACTGGAAGTAGAAGGGGAGTGCTTGTTATCATTCACACTCTCATCTCCAGAGGAAAAGTCATCCAGCTGTTTGGAAGGAGTCGACATTTCAGAGGGCCGTTTGCAAGTAGAGGAAGTAGAAGTGACCTTGCGTATGGGGGACTAAGATCAGAAAATCGTAAAGTGTCGTTCAGGAACTTCGTAAGGCCCTCTGTGTACTTGCAGTCAAGTCTTGGCCGTGGAGTGAATCGGCCAGTTAGCGATTAGGAAGTGCTCCTTTTATCTTCAAGATATGCTAGTCAGTTGAGCTAAAACACCCACGCCCATATATCGTCCGTCTACTGATTAAGGAGAATGGCGACGAACCTTGCAGAGGTGGTGGATCAATCAGCAGAGAAGGTTTCAATTGGTATACCACAATCAAGAGGAATGAAGATGGAACCTGAACAAAAAAACACCCCGGCCTTACAAATATGGATTTACGTATACAAATACATCCAAGAGAAATAAAAGGATTAACTTGTATTAGGTTCAGGGAGAATCCGTACAGGTTCAGTTCACTTTATCTCGATATCAAACACGATTTCTCATCGAACACCGATGGACAAAGCCCCCTTGAACGAAGCGATTTCGCAGCCATGGAGTCTTTCAGAGTCTTTCCAATCATTCCTATTGAAATGTCTACTTTCAATTGAACAAGATTATCGGTAACATTCAATTCCGGAACGGAGAGGAAAATGTGACAAATTTGACATCGCAGATGAGGATTGACAATCCCATAGGCATCAAGTAAATCGGTTAGAAGCTGTTGGAAGGCAGAGAGGGCCTGCGCGATTTACACGGACCGACGATATGCCTTGCGCAATCACCCAGGTCCCAGCCGGATGAATGCTATAAGGCTTCGCAAGTGTTAAATATTAGACATTCGGCTTGATAGTTTATACTTGTCTTATGCCAAGCGTGATTGCGCAGTGGCAGTGCGTGAGGTAAAACAGTTCGGCTATCTAAAACTACGGTGGAAAAAGGTTTACGTATCGGAAACCGTACTTTCCCGGTCGGGACTCGGCGGTATCTCCTGGTAGTTATGCAGACCTGGGAAGGCCTGAACCGTCTACAACAATTTGTAACAATTTTACCTCCAGGTACAATCTTAGTCTTACATACTCAGTCAGACACGCGTGACAGACACCCCCCTCGGTTCAAATGAGATAAGGACTCGAGGATACACTCGACATAGATCCTGCTTTCAATGGGCGAACAGTTCTGACTACCATGTCAGCACGGCCACCAACAATCAGTAATTACTCCGAATTGGACTTTTTTCCACAGTTTGAAAGGTGGATCATCTATGAAGGTAAGTGGAACGTGAAGATTCATTGCAACAGGCAAGCCTTGCGAACAACAAGAGCTGGGGAACAAGATAAAGTAAGATTAAGCCAACCTGAATTGTGGGGTATTCTATCATCATTGGTAATTTCCAGAAAGTTTGGCTGATTGTGACATATAGAATGGGGAAAACAAAAAGACTGAGATGCTCAGTGAGAAAATATACATGGATACTAGTCATCGAAAAATGGTATCAAGCACTTGCGGGGATGTTTGAAAGGCGCATAGAAGACATTATACACAGATGGTGGAAAATCTTTTTCTTGTTTGAGCTTGTCTCCCTTGTTTCGGTCATCTTCCTGCCGTCGGGTAGCGAGCGAGTTTTGAGTCGTCGTCCTCCACGGCAGATACACTGAGGAAGGATCCTTTTTTTTTTGTGATGATATTAAGATTATCTGATGCGGATCATCAAGTGACGCTTGGATCGTTGTTGTATTTCTTCAACACGGCTGCTTTCATCAGGTCAAGCGCTCTTTTGCTAGTTTCGTCAGGGCAATCATCGACGTTGGTTTGGATGATTTTCAGGTCTAACATCAAATCGTCTCGATCGGATGCCTTGATCCTCAAATCAAGTTCCTTGTCCTTCCGAATTGATTCTCTCGATCGCTCTTCCTTGTCAGCCATGAATCTCTCGCGTTCTAGAGCTAGTCTGTCGTGTAGTGCCGAGGTGCTTGGCTGGAACCCGTTCCTCTCATTTCTTCGGTCATCAAGCGCAAAACTGCTTGACGAGGCCTCCAGTTCAGGGTCCGATTCATCATATTGTAAGCCGGAAATTCTTCGTTTCTTGTTTTCGACCGGAGAGGGAGGGTGATGCGAGGCTGTAATAGAAGGATGTGAACCTCTACCGTTGATTTCGCTAGGTTGTCTGACAGCTGAAATGTCCGGTTCTTGTCTGAGTTGACTTTTTCCGTTTACATGAATCAGGCTAAGTCCAGATGGGTTCGAAAACGTAGCAGCGACAGGATGAGTTGAACCAGAGCAAACTATAGGACCAGGCCTGGGTTGAGTAGGCATTCGAAATCGGGGTGTATCTTTGACTATCTCCCACACGGTTTCATACTGAAATTGTCGGTGTCGTTGAGTCCGCGTGACGGTTTGTTCGCTAAAACATTCGTGCGCTAGTCGTCGGCAATGTTCCGGACTCGGGCTGGGCAGGGTTAGCTGACAATGAGCTACAACTTGGTGGTATATGACGTTAAATCTTAGACAGGCGGGCTGTAAGATCCCCCATCTTTTTATTTTGTCCATGCGTTGAACAATCAAATCGAAAAAAGGGGTTTGGCATGAGATGTCAGTCTAGTGTTACTTTTATCATGATGATGAGCTAGCTGATCGTACGAACCGCTCACGGACACCTGCGGGGGTGCGTGGGTTGCCGTGCCAATGGTGATTAAAGTGCTCGCAAACCCGTTTGAAGAATTCTTCGCCTCGTTGTTCGCTAGCAAAGATCGGATTCCGACTGACGTCTACCCAAGAGCGAGCGAGCTGTTCGTCCTCCTTGGTAGTCCAATTGGGCGACCTTTGCCGTTTTGAAACGTTGATCCCGACGAAGCTCGACAGGCCGGTGAGACTCGCATTGGGAGAGTTGGAATTGGACTGACTGACCTCGATCGATTGGGGCAACGAGGAGGGCGAACCACTGGCGGCGAGGAGTGGGTCGAATTTGGTGAGTGAGTTTGCCCCCGAGTCTGAGTCCACATCACAGTTCGATCGGAGTTGGTCCATCGCGGAGACTGGAGTAGACTGACTCACTCTGAGAAATCGGGCCGAGCCACACACTGCCACTGCTTGGTTTAGAGTAACTTCACCTCCGACAACTTTACAGATACCCTGGCTTAGCCTACCTCGCCCCCAGTCGACTCCCCGGTCAAGGCGATTCGGGGGTACATCGTCTCCCCCGGGGGAATCTGGATGTTTCATGTTGGTTGATTCACCAGGGTTCAAAAACACATTTCTTGTGGATCCCACCAATAGGTTCATTTGCAAGGCCAACACCTGCAACTTTTATTGACTTCCTGACAGGAAAATATGTATTTCAGATAGACAAATGTTTCCACCAATCATTCTTCTTTTCATTTTTCCAAAGGTCAAGGAGACCTCCCAGTACTCCACCTTGGCCATGAAAGAATTTAAGGTGGTGGAAATTTTTCTCTATCTACTGTACACATATTGGTGTGGACTTGCCAAAAGGCAAAACATGATTTCATTTCTTTGAGCAGACTCAAAAATACACAATGTGAACTCTCTTGGTATTAGAGACTACAGTTCCTGGATTGAAAAGTTGCAAAGGGTGCCAAAATCTGAGTAAAGATCTGGGCTGAAGTTCCCTCTGTTCCGATTTTTTTTTTCAATCACCCACTTGCATCTGAAAATGGTCTGTAATGTCTTGAGCATGAAATTCTTTTCTGCTCCTGCAATCATGCAAGGTGTTGCACATGAGCCTCTCCTATGGGGTTTCCATTGGACACCAACTTGGGAACCACAGTTTAGGGGGCTTTTCTAGTGTAAGTGCATAAGATAGTTGCTTGAATTGAGACATAAAAAAGAAAGACAATGTTTATTCTTTAGGAGGAAATCAGGTTGGGACAATTCAAAGGAATTTGAGGACTAAAAATGTTTTTGCCTGACAGCACAAGGGAGTAGTGTGAGCCCAAGGCCATCATCCCAATCAGTCTAGCAAGCTAGGTTATGATTGAGGGCATTGCAAAGATAAGAGTAATTAATTGATTGGTTCGATGAACCAATACCAGTAATTACACTGATAAGAACAGATACTACACTTGATCTAAGCCAAAAGGCCAGAATGGATGCCATCCAGCCCCAATTTGTTGTATATGTACCCAGGGCTCACTGACGCGTGTTCAAATCGCGATCGAGACGGAATTCGGAATGTTTGTGTAGTGTGTGGCGTGTTCGCAGGTGGTCTCGGAGGGCGTGTCAGTTTTGTTAATTGCAAACTTTAGGATTCAAGCTGTAGCATCAATTCTGCTGGCGTAAACAGCAATCCTCGAGATCGGTTTTTTGAAAGAAATGAATGATGAGAATATTGCCCCCCATGGATACAAGCAAAAGATGCCCAAGTTTGTCCGAGAGGCCGGCATTGTGATTGAGATGGAGTTTTATATGAAAAATCACAATCATCATGAGGATCATCCCGCGCAAAATTTACATGGAAAAACACTTATGGAAACAAAATTATGGAAAAACACTCATCATAATCGTGCTACTTCTTTGTTATGGGGAAGGTTCAACTTCGATCGATCGATCGGAGGGGGGTAAAACTGTGATGGGGGGAGTAGGTCCGAGTTGGTTCGTCGAACTCAGGACAAGTAAAAATTGTGCCATCGCCCTTTGATCGGTCCATCTCGACTCGAGCTGACTCCACCCCCTGAATCCTATGTGCCCCCTCAATTTTCAAAACATGAACGTGGGCAGAACTCGCAATGCGCTCTATCCTAAGGCACATTGATCTATCGGAGGGGAGGGCTGTGATCCACTTGCAGAGATGAGGTGATTATCAGTCTTTATTAGTCCAAAGAAGAGTTAGATCAGTTAGATCACCGTACATAGATCAAAATTGCAAGTCCAACTGACCGCAGCTTGCATCACATGTGACGACCGCGTCATCACTTCACCCCACATGCCTGGTGTCATTAGAGCTAACCGCCTATGGTGACGGTGCTGCTATGATGGTCTGTTGCGACTCCTGTGCAGCTAACAGGTGTGCAAGCCTTAGGCCTGCGTGGAGCTGAATTCACCGGCTCAAGAAAAACGTCAATGTAGACGTGTCATAACACAACCCCCTGTGCAGAATTAGTCGAGGTCAGAATTCGGCTTATGTAGTACCGCCCCCGGAAACTGTTTCCTCTGGCAGCGAGGCAGCCGAGAATCTACCCGGAATCTGGAAAGTCACCTGCTGACTGAAAACGCGATGAGCACGCCTTATCACTCAGTCAGTCCAATGCGAGTGAACGTTCCCTTATGAGCCTAATAACTTTGTTTGATTCCATTGAAATTTTGGGCTGCGGTCAATTGCTTGCTAATCCCAGGGGGGTGGCGGTTGAATAATTAAAGCTCTTCTGCACTCAAAACCACCTTGGTGTTGTTTAAAAATTTAACCGAACGCTTGCCATGTCATCGTCAGCCTGTCTCACCCATCGAGTATTCTGCGCAAGTTGACGTTTTCCAGCTGGAATCCCAGCTAAAATTAGTGGCATCTCATCCTCTGTCCTAATGGATGCCAGGTAGTTCGTGCAGTGGGAGACAAGCGAGACTCTAGGCACCTTGTGATCGCGACTAGAAAAACATTTTATCCCAGGAGGCATCATTTCGGTTGAAGGTGTGATGTCTAGCTTGATGCATGACGGCAGCGGAGCCGAAGCTCAAGGTGTTCAATGAGGTGCTATGTGAGTCCATGCCATGGGAAGCTGCCCAGAAGCAGAATCTAAGATGCCAAACATTGCGTAACCGGCCAAGCTTCCTCATGTTGCAGCAACCCTTTCTTCGCTGTCAAGTTCTAGGGAGGGGGATCCCTCTCGAGTGCTGTTGGCTTCAGCAGTCACTTGCACGGAGTTTTCCTGGTAATGGGCGTCTCTCAAGTCAGACCTGATTGTGTATAAAGACCGCAGGATGTTGCACTGTTCCTTCCCCCATCAGCTCACTTACCAACGTTTACTTCTACCACACGACCTAAAAAGCCAATCAATATCAAGTTTTAAATAACTACCCAAAAAATCCAACTCAAGATGTTGTTCAAGTACCTCTTAGCCCCCGTTGCGCTTGCTGGTAAGCCTTTCCTTCCCCGTGATTTTGGCAGGCTCAAATCATCGATGCTCACTACAGCCATCCTCTCTTTTCCTTCAAGCTTCCGTGGTCTGTTACCCTCCCGGATACGGCGGTCAATCCCCAAGTGTTAGACCCGACTACAACGGTCTCGACTTCAGCAGCTGCACTGACAAGATCAGACAAGTCAGAGAGCCTCTTGCCTCCTCTTGCCAGAGGCAATCCGTCCAGGATGCCACCTCCAAGTTGGACGGCCTCTACGAGCCTATCCACGCTTTGTCTAACAGAGTTCACGTCTCCGTCAGAAGTGACACCAAAGTTGCGGTAAGCCATTTTCTCTCAGCACATTCACTCATTTCCACCTGGCTTCGCCCAAAAAATATGACAGGATCCTGAACTATAATTCTCTGTTTTGGAATTTACACACAGTACAAATATACCAGATCGCTTGTCTCCCTCTTCAGCAACTTTCAAGGTATCGTCGACACCATTGGTCGATACCCCCGAGTTTTCTCTCGCTCCCAAGGTTCGTACATTCGTCCTCTCTGCCTTTTTGCGGTTTTAAGGAACAATCTTGAGTTAACCCGGTATCAATTTCTTTGAACCACAGAGACCATCTTCGAGTTCAACTCTCAATTTGAGAGCATCCTCACCGACTTTTCGTCTGCCGGTGTCAACATTCACGAAGTTTTCAGCCAATCCACCGCCGTCAGATTCGAAAGCTGGCAACAAGTTGGCTTCACTTTCCCTGAGAAATTCGGCTTCTACGGTGACAAGTAAAGCTCGAATCCAAGTCCGAGGTCTCATTCTTTAAACCAATGAGCCTCGTGAATGAAAAAGCATCAGTGGCTTGCCTCTCGAGTCTCATCTACTTTTTCCTACTACTCATGCGGTCTAGTTCCCTCTAAAAAACCCACGCTTTACCCTAAGCTTCATGTGTCGCGTCTGTTATGAATGAAATCAATCCAGTCTTCTATCTTTCTCTTGACTACCAAAGTAAACTGCCCTTGTAGCTCGACCACTCTGAGGGCGGATGTCAATGTAAGACAGATCATCCCCTTGGGGATCCTAGCTTAAGTGGTATTTTCCTCACAATCTATTGATCTTGCCTTCCCTTTTGTTGCATATGTTGCTTGTGCAAGGCCTTAAATGTTCCAAGCAATTCGACTGGTACGTTCAGCCCTACCCTCGTCCTAGTACAGCAAGGCGTACAGTGGCGCGCGGCATTGCACTGTACAAGGCTGCCCGCAAAACTTTTCTGGTCGCGCGGGGTTAAACCCCGACCCCGATGGGGGTCCAGCACTTGTAATAAGTGTGTTTTTGGAGTCTACAGGGTGTGTAGATTCCAAATCTAAAGTTGCAAACAATTTGGTCCAGCCAAAAAAAAAAAACTTTTTTTTTTCACTCGACCATTCGGACATAGGTCGTGTATGGGGGTCTTAGTACATACTTATGGGTTAGGGAGGTATCCTAATCCCATACTCACATGGCCAACTGTCAGCCAAAACCCATAAACATGAGCTTAAAGTGTATTTCACAGGTCAATTACAGCAGCTGTGACACCGGATTTACATCTCAACCCCCCAAAAACAGGTGAAAATCACAAAAAAAATCCAAGTTTTGGGCCCCGACCTTTCGGACATTGCAAAACCTTGTACAGTACAATGCCGCGCGCCACTGTAGCTTGAAATTGAATGCAGGAAAACAAAACTCCTCGAATCAAAAGACCAGCAAATTCAATAATTTTATGCATCCACGTATATGTCATATACTTTTAGTCCCAGGCGGCGATACCAACCGCAAGAATTTACCAAACTTATGACTGAGACAACTTCCTCGGCAAAACGCAGTACATGAATAAATTACTTCCAAACTATTTTCACACTGTTCTACATCAGAAGCATCATTGCAAATCAAGTAATGACTTCCAACGTTTAAGGTTGAATTTCTTTGGATTGATCCATGACACGTGTTGACAAATGTAGTTTCTAAAAAGTAAAAAATGAAAGCTCCAAAATTTCAGAATATGATGTATGGCACATTGGCATTTGGTATGGCAACTTGGAGAAAGTTTATTATTTGACTGGGAAACTTCCGGCAACCATGGGCAGATACGTTACCCAAATGGATAACTTTGTGTTTAACATAAGCTTTATAGTTAAGTTACCTGTCAGTTACTGATAATCTGATTTACTTTACGATATCATTTCCCCAAAAAAACAATTTTTGTGCTTTGAGTTACATTCCTGTGTAACTTCCTTCATTTCAAATTATGTTACCATTTTTTTCATTTTGGGATAACTTGATTTTAAATAGGATAACTTGACTGTAACTAGGATAATGATTGATATGAAAGCAAAAAAGAATGAGATAATGAAAATAAATCTCTATTTCAGTGTGCCTTTCAAGCGTTGAAATTCTTTCTCTTCACAAAATAATTTGAAGTTATTGTGTTGCCTAGCTGACCCCTCAAAATTTTCTCCCAATGGAAAATCACCACACAACCACATGCAGCTACTTACAGATCTTTTGATTGTTCTTGGCAACAGCTTGCCAAAGGTACTAGTACAGATATCTGCTTCTACAGAGAACTTTTTCAACAGATGAAGAAGATGCTACACAGCCTAAGTAGTCTTTTGCTAAAGTTGAGAGTATTAAATTCTTGAACTTGTGTTCCTTAAAATTCAATCTATCAAAAAAAAACATTAATTTGAATACACCAACAAGAATCATACCTTCCACCATTTCAATGCAGAAAATGTGTAATCATTTTTATTTCCATGGATGATGCAATCCACTCCTCCCAAATAAATTTCTATTTCATCTTGTCCTGAATTTTTGCTTGGACCACTGAAAAATGAGTAGATATCATTTTCATTTGTCTCCTTTTCCTTTGAAGTCTTATCCTTTCCATGCTTTTTTTCTTGTTGAATCTTTTCCCCCATTTGGTTCTTTCTTTCTTCAAACAATTCCACTATCCTTTTCTTTGCTTCCAATGCTTCTTTTAGATAGAAAGTCAAAAAGATGGGTTTAGAATAGTTGAAATCACCAGGGTTTCACAAGCAAGTGCTTCTACAAAGTAAGTATTGGTTTTTTCAAACATCTTGACAAACATTGGCTGTAAAGGATTGTTACAGTTTGAAAAATCCAGTTTTTTTCTTGAGAGGGTTTTTCATTTGCAAGTACTTGGGTATGGCAGCACTACCAGTCAGACTTTTGCCCTCCATCTTCTTTGTCAATAAGAAAAGGTACTAAATACCAATATTGTCATGATCAGTTTGACAAATCTCACACAACATGATTGAAAAAAGTATCCAACCTTCAATTTGTCATTCAATTCTTTTATTTCTTGCCACTCATGTGACAAAATTGTTATCTCTTGAAAATTGCCAAGCTCCTTCTTGCAAATTTGACCTTGTTGTTGTGCACGTTGTGCATTTAATTTCTCCAGATCTTCTTTTAGAATCTCATCAATCAGCTTGATATATTAAAACATGAAAAATTAACTCTAATACAGTGGTATATCAATAATTGTGAGGAAGAGACGTGCTTCATGTGCCTCATAAGCACACTCACGGCTTTCAAATTTTATGTTCCACCTTATTCCATCACTACAAAGTATCTTGAATCACATTCTGAAAATGTGTGGTAACATCACATGTCACATGCAATTTCACCTTGCATTTGCAAAATGTGATTGAATTTTTTGGCACATGCAATGTTACCACACATCCGCAGAATGTGATTCAACACTTTTTGTAGTGCATAGTCAGGAATGAGACTGCGTAGTTTGAAGCCTTTTTTGTTGGTTTTGCAAACATATACCTGGTGCAATGCACTTTTTGAAGTAATTTTTCAAACAACAAAGTCCAGCTATAATTTCAATGGATGGAAAAGTAAATTAGTTTTTAATTAGAATTTGAAGTTTTGGGATTAAAAATTTGAGATGGTTGAGTTCACACCTTTCTAGTTAAATGGTCCAAGCTAATTGATTCATTACAATTTGCCGCCTGGTATTCAACTTGGTTGGTGTCTTCCTCTTCCTCGTCTTGTTGGTTGCCTAGCCTCGCAAGCTCTTCCTCATCGTGTTCTGGTTCAGAAATTTCATTGTCATCAATACTTGGATTGGTTTCATGAGCTAAACTACCGGCTTGATCATTGTTGTCCTCTTCCACCTCAGCAATTGGCTCCATGACATTGGAGTACAGGAACATTTGGAGGATTGACTCCTTTACTTTTGAGGGGGGAGGGGCAATCATTCCAAGATTGGCAAGACCAGCATTGACAGTTAATGCAATCTTGTGACAGAAACAACGGATAATCATTTTATTTGGAATCCAGTCAAATGCATATGTCCCATTTGTTTCCGCTAGAGATTGTTTGTTGGTACCCGCCACTAGATACCTAGCACTGCTTGGCAGGTACCACCCACACTAACCCTGCACCCTCCAGGTTGTGTGGGATACTTTATGGGTACCCATCCAAACTACTTCAAAAATTTAGATTTTTCTTGTATATACAATAATAGGGCCTTAATAAAAAAAACGCGGTTTTTCCGCGTTTTGACGCGGTTTTGATGCGCCGCAGCACACGCGGTTTCCGCTTTTAGACGCGGTTTCGTAATTAATTTTTTATGGGTTATTTTTTGACTTTTTTTGAATTTTTAAAGTTGTTTCCTACACTATAAAAGGCGTAGAATTTAATGGTAAAAACCATTTTTCATAAAAATGAATTTTGATTATTAATTATTTTTTTTCACTCATTTCTCAATTAATTGTTTGCATACATGTATGTACCTTATTTTTTATGCTTTTGTGAAATTTTAAAATTATTTCCTAGGTTTCAATGTGTGTAGAATTTAATGGTGCAATCCAATTTTTTTAAAACTCAACGGTTCATTTTTAATACTGAAATTAGACCCATTTGTTCACTTAATTTTTTACAGCTTAATTCTCATCATTTTTTGACATTTTAAATTTATTTCCCACACTTTAAGACATTTAGAAAATGATGGTAACAGCCATTTTTCCCCAAAATGAAAACTATACCTTGAATGCCGCATTTGACACGTTTTTTTTAATTAATTCATCACTTTTTCACTTAATTGTTTGCATACATGTGTGTACCTTATTTTCTATGCTTTTTTGAAATTTTAAAGTTTTTTCATACATTTAAAAGTGTTTAGAATTTAATGGTAACATCCAATTTTCTTAAAACTCAACAGTTCATTTTTAATACTGAAACTAGACACTTTTTTCAATTAATTCTTTACATGTTATTTCTCACTATTTTTTGACATTTTAAGTTTATTTCCCACACTTTAATACATGATAAATGATGGTAACAACCATTTTACATAAAAATCAGCGCTTGTTACTGAATACTGCAGTGGACAGGCTTTTTTTAATGTTTTTTTGATTGATTTTTACCGGCCTGATTTTAAGCATTTTTTTTATTTTAAATTTATTTCCTACATTTAAAAATGTTTAGAATTGAATGGTGAAGTCCAAATTCACTCAAAATACAAGCTTCAATCTTAATAGATGAGCGTACCCTGTTTCTTGCATAATTTGTACCATATACAAATTTTATTTGAATGCAAAATGGATACAGCCATCAATTCTGAAACCTTTAAAAGTGTAGGAAATGAGCTTGAAATTCCAAAAAATAAGGATAATTGAGCGTGTAAGAATTAATTCAGGAAACACGTCAAAGGCATTATTCAAGATATAGTTTTCATTTTGATGAAAATTCATTGTTGCCATAATTTTATACATGTTTGAAAGTGTAGGAAACAAATTTAAAATGTCAAAAAATATTGAAAATTAAGCTCTTAAAAATCAATTGAAAAATATGACTAATTACAGTATCCAGAATGACCCGTTGAGTTTTATGGGAATTGAATGTTACCATTAAATTTTACACACTTTTAAATGTAGGAAACAACTTTAAAATTTCAAAAAAGCATAGAAAATAAGGTACACACATGTATGCAAACAATTAGGTGAAAAAGTGAGGAATTAATTAAAAAAACGTGTCAAATGCAGCATTCAAGGTATAGTTTTCAACTTGGGGAAAAATGGTTGATACCATAATTTTCTACATGTCTTAAAGTGTAGGAAATAAATTTAAAATGTCAAAAAATGATGAAAATTAAGCTGTAAAAAATTAAGTGAAAAAATGGGTGTAATTTGAGTATTAAAAGTGAACCGTTGAGTTTTAAAAAAATTGGACTGCGCCATTAAATTCTACGCATATTAAAACCTAGGAAATAAATTTAAAATTTTAAAAAAACATAAAAAATAAGGGTACATACATGTATGCAAACAATTAATTGAGAAATGAGTGAAAAAAAATAATTAATAATCAAAATTCATTTTTATGAAAAATGGTTTTTACCATTAAATTCTACGCCTTTTATAGTGTAGGAAACAACTTTAAAAATTCAAAAAAAGTCAAAAAATAACCCATAAAAAATTAATTATGAAACCGCGTCTAAAAGCGGAAACCGCGTGTGCTGCGGCGCATCAAAACCGCGTCAAAACGCGGAAAAACCGCGTTTGTTTATTAAGGCCCCAATAATATTACACCATATCAGGCTCCAAACTTATCATGAGTCTGCGTCCCTGCTGTGTCGTGTGGCACTGTAGCCGCTCTTTGAGTGTGAAAGCACTAGGGACTCTCCCGCAGGGAGAGAAATTAGGAATAATGAGGGGGTTTGGCTTGAGGGAATCTGCAAGCTTTGGTGGCAGTCAATGTTGTGAGCACCTGCAAACCATAGTTTTGAAGGAGTTTTTTTTTCTTGTTCATGTTTTAAAGCTTGTAATTTTCTCCTTCAAACTGTCTGTTCAAAAGCTTACATATCAATTCCCCTCATACCCAAATAAATTCACAAAACTTTATGTTTCTTGATTTTCCGGGGCCGCTGACTAGCAAGGCCATGGCTTTTTTGGTGTGCTCTTTTTTCCTATGTTTTTACCTAGTAAATCTTTCACATGTGTTCCATTTCATATATGTAAGTGTATGGCATTTTTTCTCAACTGTCAATTGGCAAATTAAAATTTTAATTGTCTGATAGCAAAAACATTAAAGGAATGAGAATGTACAAGGAGTGACTGTTTTCAAAAAAAGATATAAAAACTACAACTAATACCGTGTCAAAACGGAACTGAGAGGATTCTAGACAGGATACTAGCGCTCAGCTGGGATCAAACGTTGAGAGTGGTACATAGAATCAATATTTTATAATTCAAAACAAAGAAATACTACTCTTATTCTTGACATAGCCTCATGCAGACTTGTGTTGGTCAGGCATAAGCCCCGCTTGCACCTCATGCCTACAGGTGCTTGCGGGCTTTTTTACGCTTGATCAGGCTCCAGGAATGGATTCCAGGGCCAACTTCACCCTTGGGTAGCAGGCTGGGACACATGTAAACCCTCTGCATTACATGTTACACCCCTCTTTCACTCACAGGTAGGGGGGGTCCAGCACTCTTAAATGTTACAAGGGTCTCAGGTGCACATTTCACACCTCTGGGCCATCTGATCTGGCATCTGTACGTCTCAACCAAGTACAGTCTCCTCCCAGATGTTTATAGCCATCTGTTTTGAGCTCCACAGCGGGAGCCCAAAAACTTTGAGTCACAAAAGTTTTTGTAATGGTGAAAAATGGGTTTCAAAGAATGAATATGAAAAAATAATAACAAAAATCAAGATTTCAAAATTTGTGAAAAAGATAAAAGAAAATCAACTTTTTTTGAAAACTTCAATTTTTTGTTTGAGTGAAAAGTGAACACACAGAGTGCAACTTTGGAACATGAAAAGAATGATTATAAATGAAAAATATTGGTCCAAAAAAAGTTTGAGCATGGTGGGTGCACACCCTGCAGTCAAAATCAGTAGATTGCAGTACCAGAATGCCACATTTCTTGATGAATGACCCCCTAGGCACCCTTTTTAAACCACCAAGCATTCATTTTTTTCCAAATTTTCACTTCTTATTATTCATTCCAGATCTCATCATATCAATTTGGAGATTTCATCTTTTCCTGAAAGAAATATTAGAGCTGTCAGTTTTTGTGATTTTCTCCTTTTTACTTTTTACAAATTTTATAATCTTGTTTATCATTATTATTTTTTCATATTTATTCTTTGAGACCCATTTTCAACCATTCCACCAACTCTTGTGACTTGAAATTTTTGGGTTCCAGGTGTGAAGCTCAAGACAGATGGCTATAAACATCTGGGAGGAGACTGTACAATGGAGGTATGCAGGCACAGCATACAGGTTACCTTGGCAACCTGTCATGTGATGCGTACAGCCTCAAAATACAGGATGACATCATGCGGCTTACTAAACACAGCCTGCAGGTTACTAGGTTGCACAGCTTGTCAGTCCAGCGGAAACCACTCAACTTCTCAAATCACATCATGTAGGCTGTACCACCAGCCAAAACCCCTCATGTCTTCTTCCATCTTGGCCAAATTAACTCATGTAAGGCTGTACAACCAGCCAAAATCCCTCATTCCTGGCTCCCCTGGAGCCAAAACACCTCATTGTTGTCTATACAAGGAGGCCCTTGCTCCCAGTCGTAATCTCTCCCCAACAGACTTCCTGCATTCATTGACCCACATAACAGGGAAATAACTGCTCACTCCATAACATTATTTTTTCCCCAATATTTTGGTTTTAAAATTATAGCAACCCTTACATACAATATTACAAAATCTTATACATAACAAACAACCCATTTTAGCACCTGTTCACCTGTTAAACAACAGTGTATCTTTTGATACACCCCACTATCACTAATTAAAAGCTGCCAAGCTAAGATTGGTGGTCTTGTTTAGTGTAGTACACAGGAAAGGCAGAGGTTACCTCACACATCCCTTTCTGAACTCAGCAAAAGGTTCTCAGGAACACTTTTGAGCTTAACAGCGGTGCCAGGTGCCTGTTTTTGGGCTAAAAAACAAGTGGTACCTGGGTACCGCTAAAGGTACTGCCCCCACAGTTGACTCTTGACTGGAAGGGTTTCCTTCCAATTGATGAGGTACATGTACCTCATTGACCGGAAGGTGGTGAGTTTCAGTCACTTGAAATCTAGTGCCCTGAAATTTCCCCTGGTCAGTCACAATTTGTCCAATATTCCAGATAAAGCTTGTGCTATATTCTGTCAAGATGACAAATCCTGTATTGTAGTATTCAAATCATATTCTTGTACCTGAACACGCTTCTAACAAGCATCCCATTACTACTCCTCTGCCTGTCTCACTTAGGATCTCTTCCTTATTAAATGCAACTATATTTCTTGTGAGTCTCAACTTAATTGCAGTGTTTTGGTCCCTGTGCTTCCAAACAGTATACGTGATCCTCCCAGTTATGCTCCTACATACACTCAAAATCTTTGACATTGTCATTTTTTATTAGTTCACTCTTGGTCTCTTGCTTGTCTCAGACAGCAATGGCCCAGTTTCGCCAACCACAGCATTAGCACAGCTTAGCATAGCTTAGTGTAGCAGGATTCAGGTGAAAAATAGTGTAGTGTAGTGGAATACCACCATGTCTGCACCATCACACTCTTGCAGGCCTCAAAAAAGGGCCCACTATGCCGCACTAACACACTAGTCAGCGGTTTTTTTGGCCCCTGTATTGGCCATTAGTGGCTTGAAGCAGTGTAGAATAGCAAAAATTCACCATCATTCCACAAAAATACCAGATTTCCACAAAAAAAGCACCACTACACTAACACTTTATGGGCAAAAAGCACAGTATAGCATAGTGGCGCATCATTGCAACTAAATCATGTCAGCAAGCTTTGAATAGAATTTAATCCAAGTTCTGCTTATGCTTCATCAAAATTAGCCTGACTTAAACTGTGCTCTATGATCACAAGCTTAGCAGATTTATGTAGGAATTCTCAAGTTGAAGAAGAAAAGCATAGTAGCAGCCTACCAAGTATTGTAACTTATCAATATCATGACTGCTTGAAACATAGTGAGTAAAATTTTCTTCAGAACTAACGGAGAAGAGTGCTATCAGATTCAAGGGATTCTTGTTTGAATTTACCAAGGGAAGAAAAAAGGGGCTTGCTGGTGGATTTTCTTTGCCGGGAACGAGTTTTAAGGAAAAAAATGAGGATACGGACTGCTGGGAAACTGATCAAATGGAGTGCGATGCTGTACATAAAATATGTCTTACAAGAAAGCTGACACAAAGACCACACATATATTTTGACTGCGTGTTGTAAAAAAAGTTCAATCCAAGTCTTCCCATCCCTTGCCAAAAAGCTTGTGAATTTGAGACCGATGGAGTCTCATAGGACGAAAAAAGTTTCCAGGCTGAGATCCGAAGTTAGTAGCCTCATGACGAACCTGAATCCGATGGATTAAAGATTGTTTATCTACTGAGTTGTTTGTTTTGTACAATTCTTCGGAGGTTGAATGTAATGGGTCACCAGGAAAGACGACGAAAAAAGCGACAGTTCCTTCTGATTTCTGCTGGACGATTTCAGGAGTTAACGGGAAGACCTTGCGGATTGTATGATCCATGAGCTGTCGATAATCCTTCCAGCGAGCTAGATCGGTGAGGAGATAGAATTGAGGTGGTGGGAGGGTGATAGAGTCACTCTGCTCAGAAGGTGCTAAGACAGATCGTTTGAGAGCCTCCGCTGGGCTCAACCATACTACTGAGATCGTCTCCGATTTGTCTGGTGTTGCTATATGCATATCATTCTGCCTTGCAATCACGTCGGACTGTGGTGGCAAGATGGTAAGGTAGAAGTGCGTATCCCACCTCTATTAGTCGATCAATCAAGGATTTTGTATGCAAAAAAGACACGAGTCAGGAGAAATCAACCGATCCGCAAACTGCGTTGCCATGTAGATTTGTGGAGGAATTATGCAATGATCAGAGTAGGTGAAATGGGCCAAGAAGGCGCACCTTAGGCGATGTGGTAGGAGTCAGGATATTTGCATAATGGGATAACCGATCTAAGCAAAATAGATTGCTATCCTGATTGTTTTTGGCAGTGGGCACATGATCTTGGATGTGTTGAATGATGTTGGTGAATTGAGTACCGGTCTGTTCTGTTAACTGCAAGAGTGCCACATAAACACAATCAAGGAATTGAAATTTAGATTCCAGCTGATTCAACTGAACACTAGAAGGGATATAAATATTGGTTGAATATTGTCTATGTGGTACATACTTTTTGCCTAAAATCTATTAAAACCGAGCTCGGAATGTCGACACCAGGCGAAAGCCCAGTGAGGATACCAGCTTCTTCGAACGTTTCACGAATTGCACAAAGCTTGAGTGCGATTTGAAGGTCAGAAGGTTCGTTGGACTTGTCTTTTGAAGCTCGACGGTTAAGGAATGGATGGTAGTTGTGATCATCTGGATCGAGATTACCTCCTGTGGAATCGAAAGTGTCAGCATTCAAGTGATAGGCGCTTCTTAAGATCTGATCGACGGATACGACTCGACTTACCTGGGAAGACATGGGCAGCCGAGAATGAACGCTGAGTGGAATTACGCTGAATCAAGAGCGTCCGATAATTATAGCCATCCGGAGTGATCGATTGAAGTGGTTGGATGATTATCAAGCTGTTGTTAGCAATATCATGCTATTGATCAGCACCCAAGAACTGTTACGCATATGTAAACGGGAGGCTCTCGACTGACCTTGCAGAAGATCGGAGATTCGGTAAATCGGATTTGGTTGATAGTCCCGCTTTAGGCTGCACCAGTGAGCTTGCCGGTCTGATACTCTGGGGGTGATGGTCAAGTTGAGCAGACAATTGGTTGAGTCGCCTCGAGAAACTGGCCATCGTCGAACTTGGTGGTCACCTGTAGTAATAATCACAGTCTCCAACTCGCCAAGTCTCCACAACCCCAGTTGAGCAGCCACCACAATAAATAAGAATGGTCAAGAGGTCGGCCTTCGCAGTCATGAGGCCGGCATTTTCAGCTTCCCATAGCGACACGTACATAATAACACTGCTCTTTCAGCAACAGCAGCTGTCAGCCATCGGAGGCCATGAGTGTCATGACGTCATTTCACTCGCTCGACCGAGCCTGAGCCGGGGCCCGGGGGACTGGTAAAAGAGCATGGACAAACAAAACGAACTTAACACAAGTCCCTCCCTGGGCCCGAAGGGCCGCCTCCCGTCAGGAGAGCGTCCCTTCGGGACGCGGGGTCCCTTCGGGACCCTCCGATCGAGAGGCTTTGTTAAGCTCGAAACAAAAGTAGGATATATTTCGATGAGGAGAGAGAAATGTACACCCCGGGTGCAGTCCGCTGTCCGGGTGACGGTACTTTTTGTTGTAACATTCCTGTTACAGGCCTCTGCCTCGCCGCAGCACGGCACCAGAGGAAGTCTCTTCCGAGACTTCCGAGTAGTAAAGGTCTCGGAACCTTGAGGAATTGAACACTATCGCACCTCAGGCCACAATAGGTTATGAGCCCTTAAGGACTCTCGCTCTTTCTTTCACCTCCGAACAATCCTCGATTCGACCCGTGGATTTATTCAACTCAGTTTTTTTTATTTTCCGACATCGAATACCTTCGCTTCGCCGCCGGGTTGCCGATTCACTTCTCATCGCCAAAGTTTTTCGAACCGAATTGACCGACTGGAACTTCGTTTTGGGATCAGCGTACCGAGTAAGCTAAATAGACTAGCCATCTATCTATTACGGTTCAGTGGCCCTGAACCGGTGCAGAAAGGTCGCAGATAACATTTTGGACGACTGCTCGGACATTTCACTCCTCAACATCACCCTCAACACGGCGGACCGGTGAACAACAGCCGCACGCAATTTTTTTTCTTCTCTCTTCCCTCTTTCTATTTCCTCTCCCACTACTCCTCCCACTTCTTTCCTTTCCAAATCCATATCCGATTTTTTTTTTTCTACTTTCCTCATCTCTTTTCCCTCAAATCGCTATCTCTTTCCCTTCCTCCTATTTTCCTTTCTTTTTCACTTGATCCTATCTCCACTCCTTTCCCTTACCAGTTCATTGCTCTCACACACCCTAATCTTTCCTACGACTTCGACGAAGCGAAACAGGATGTCACGGTCCGAGCAAGAAAGAAACGTGTGGTCTCGGGCGTCATCGGCCAGCGTTGCCTCGACGAATGGGTCCGAGTCTGAGTATGATGTCAACGACGGCGCTAGCAAGATGGGGGCTTTATTTGATGCGGCACTAGGTGGGAGCGACAATACAGAACAAGCTGAGACCACGATCAAAAGCCATCACAAAGGCAAGCAAGTCGAAAGCGTCGATCCACCCCGCCAAGGCCCCTCGACATCACATCATACGTCTCATCAAACGTCACACCGGCACCGACCATACGTCTCGTACAGGACGCACCATGACAGGCACGCACCACCACATCAAGCACCTCCATCGGCCGCGGAGAAAGAACTCCTCGAATTCCAGGCCGCCAAGATGCGACTTGAACAGGCCAAGCTGATTAGTCAAACGGTCTCTGCAATCAACGCCCGTTGGAAGACATCCAATGTCCTGCGGGCTGACGGCTCGAACTTTTCGCAATGGACGAGGGATCTTCGAGAGATCGGCACATCTCATCTCTCGGACCGGGACTTCTTTTTTTCGGCATGCGACAACTCGACCTTTGAACGCATCGGACGCCTTGTCGTTTTCGCGGGTGTACATCAAGACCTCGTTCCGGACATCCAACCGTTTGGAAAAACAGTGGACATCTTCAATTTCTTGAAGAAGAAATTCTCGGCGAATTCGAGAGCTGCGCAGATGAACCTTTGGCGCCGATTGAGTGGAATAACGATCAACCACTCGGAACCGTCGACTAGTCTTGTGGCGCAGATTCGCGACCTTTATACTGAACTGAAAGCACTCAACGGTCGGTTGTGCTCCGACGTGGTTTTCGGATTCCTTTTCCAATCGGCAGTGATGCAATCTTCGGCACCTTTCAAGAAGGATTTCGAACAACGAGTCGAAAATCAAGTTCAGAATGACGCAGCGAAAGCTTTTCCGAAATTCGAAGACATCGTTCACAACTACAATATCTGTCAGAAACAGTGGTCTGAGCAAGCTCAACCGAGTGACGTTGTGGGGCCACAAATGCCATCAGTGATGCAGGTGTCAGCGAATGATGAAGGTTTTGATTTCGATGCTTTCTTAGCAGAAATCCCTGAAGATGACTGGTCAGAAGCTCTTGAATTTTACGCGGTGACAGCTAGACGCTGTTGGCAGTGCAAGGCGCCGGACCACTATCTCAAAGACTGCCCTCAACAATCAGGAGGGACTCAATCGAACGGCGGTTTTCGAGGATCTAGCGGAAATCAAAGCCACGGTAACTCGCAACGACAGATGGCAACTTTTGTCGGCTCGCTGTACACCCAGCCTGGCGGAAATCAAGGTCCCGGTCGTTCTCCGTTGGCCCCCCCATCCCAGTTCCAGACACAGGCCAAACGGATGGCCGATTTCTACCGGCCACGGTATCAGCAATCACAAAACCGGCAACAGTCAGCCCCACCGCAACACCAGCAATCGCAGAAAGGGGGGGCATCGGCACAGGTTATGGAAATCGGAGAAGTTCCCGATGATCTTGATGATCTTGACTTCAGGGCAATGACCTTGGGCGAAGATATAGTAAGTCCAACAGTCATTTTTGATACTGGGGCCTCTCATCATTTCTCTGGCTCTCGTTCTCTTCTCCACAATTTCCGTACTCTTTCTAAACCGTTACCCCTCTCGGTAGCTACCGCCGCCAACCAATCCTATATTACCGGAGTCGGGGACCTTAAATTCCAAGTGAATGACAGATCTATCATTGTCATCAAGGGAGTGCTTTATTGTGAGCAAGCCAGGTCTAACTTAATCTCCATGGCAGCTCTCAGGAAGTCTAATGCTTCTGTTCTGTATGACAATGACAGGGATGCTTTCGAGATTTTCAATAGTCTGGGATAGAGCTGGTCGCTACGCATCCGGATATCCGCGCGGATGCGGATATCCGGCTGCTTTTTCAGGCCAAATGGCCATCCGCATCCGCATCCGCACCCGCTAGCGGGTATCCGTCGGCCGCAGCGGGTATCCGAGCGGGTATCCACGGATACCCGCCCTATAGAAGGGCCGGCGAGGCGGCTGGAAGGATTTCCTTCCAG